CTGATCAGAGCAGCGGCAGCGCGCTTGGCTAGCAGCGCAGAGCGACTGGCGGCCGTATCGGCCGACTGCCGCCGGGCAGGAAGCTGCTGGCGGGCATCGATCTCGCCGCCGGGAATGTGCGGCAATTGCTCGGACGGCGGCGCAATAAAGGCCATCATGATGTCGACGGTTGGGTCGCGCTCCTGGACCTCGTAGAGCTGGGTGTTGCTCAGGCCAGCGGCCTCGCATAGCGCGATCCACTCGTCGAGTGGGCGGAAGGCGCGGATCTCGGCAGCCTCAGCTTCGGGCGATAAATTGGTGAGAGCGTTGAACACCATGTGGGCGACATCGCACATCGGAACCAGCTTGGGTGCCGCATCGTGCTCGCGGACGAGGAAGACACCGCCTGGCCGCAGAATACGGGCTACTTGCTGAACAAGCGCAAAAACAACCATTGGCGGAAAGTGGTGCAGACCTTGCATGAGCGAGACCAGGTCGGCCGAGTTCGACGGGATGCCTGCGAGATCGTCGGCGATCGAGGGATAGTCAAAGATGAGAGCGTGAGTGCCAACCGGTGCTGCAGCACCGCGCTCAACAACAGCTGTCACGTCGGTGGGTGCGAGCTCCGAGTCTGCAACAACCGTGATCTCGCCGGTAATGCCGAGTGCCTTGATGAGCGGGAGGACAAGCTTGCCCGAGTCACCAATGGAGACATAGCCGTTGATGGCGCCAACACGGCCGAGGTGAGCGATGATGGAGGTAACCTCACGTGTCAGCTCAGCTTTCTGGTCGTGGATCTGGCGGAGCTGTCGCAGCATGTTGAGGGCGCCACCAGTTGGGCCCGAGTTGAAGCTTGCAGCCGAGGCAACCAGGGCTTTGTAGACATCAGCATCGCAGGAGTTGCGGCTGTCGCAGACTGCAGTGACCACCGCACGCATGACATCGTGCGGCGGCGCGACGTTGAAGATCTCGCCGAGAAACCCCGATTCGAGTTCGCTGCGGCCGGCAGCAGTCGAGAGCAGCTTCGCAAACGAGTTGTTGCGGCGGATGCTGGCCTGCGGGAGCTGGAATGGTGCGCTAGATGGTGCCAGCAGCGGGGCAGGAGCAGCAAAGGCGGCCGGCTCTGAAGCAGCGGATGTGACAACGGTGTGGCCGTGGTACGCATCCCACCACGCCGACGTGAAGCGCAGCTGCGGATCAAAGCGGAGCTTAGCAGCGCGAAAGGCGTCAATGCTTGGATAGGCAGCGGTCATGTCGTCCACCGAATAGTGATGGCGGTAAGGGAGGTAGAAGACGCCGCCGAGATCGAGCGTAAGGGCTGTGAGGGCGGCATGGATGTCTGCGAGGGCGCGATCGGCGGCGGGCGTGGCACGCAGGCGATAGTAGAGGACAAAGGCGTAGGAGCCGTTCGGGGCAGTGGCATACGGCAAAAGAGTGGTTGTGTCGCAGTGCACAAAGCGGATGGTGGTGTTGAGAATGGCAAGGAGCGGATGGCCCTGCATGGCGGCGTAGATGGGGCGCGCGCCGGCGATCCAGGCGGCAAAGGCCGAGCGGGGGACAAAGTACTCTTGCAGGATAAAGGTGTCGTTGACAGAGAGGATGAGGTCCGTGAAGCGGGCGAGCGGAGTGGCCGACTCGTACATGACGGTGTTGCGGTCGGTGGTGTGCTCGGCGGACCAATCGAGGGCGGCGCCAGAGGCGCGCTCGACGGCGAAGCGGAGCTCTGCGAGCGGGGCAGCGGCCCACTTGTACATGATCGCCATGAGCGGCGACATCTCGCGCGGCTTGCGATCGAGCGAGGCAGCCATGGGTAGGTTCGAGGCACGACGAAAGACAAAAAGGTCCACAGTGTCAAGGGTAGTAAAGTCGAGGCGAGCGAGCTTGGCTTCGACCGGCAAGCCGCCGGCGTCTGGGGCGTCGACGAGCGGCTCAAAGACGTGAGGAAAGTCGTCAATGGAGAGTGTCATGGCGTCCATTACCAACGGCACATTGTCGTTGACCCGCATAGTGGCGTCGACGATGATGCCGAACATGCCGTAGCCGCCAATGGCCGCGGCAAAGAGGTCGCGGGCAGCAGGATCGGCGGCGTCGGGGAGGCCGAGACAAGCAAGCCGTCCGCAGTGACTACCGAGATGGCAGTTACGGCCTCGACAAGAGCATAGTCTGTGGTGATGCCATGTGCGTTGACGGCCAATGTGCCACCGACCGAGAACGAGCAGTATGACTGCATGGTCCTCGGCGACTTGCCGAGTGGGTTGAGGAAGCGGATGGCATCAGCCCAAGTCGCACCGGCCCCGATGGTCATCAGCTCACGAGAAGCGTCCCAGGTGATAGCATCGAGGTATGTGGTGTCAATGACAACACCACCTGCTGCCATAGTGTGGCCACCCATCGAGTGTCTCGTTCCACGGACCGAGACCGGAAGACCATCTGCCGCAGCAGCAGCCACAGCCATCTGAACATCCTCAGCCGATCTGGGCTGGACGACTCTCTCGACAGCAGTGGCATTCAAACGAGAAACATCATCCACCAGCACAGCATTGGGCAGGACAGGATCAGGCCAAGAAGCCCGCGAGCGATCGGCCACAGCTTGGGCGACTTGTTCCCCAGATCGAGCAGAAGTCACACCTTTCGCAGATGACATCGATGATGATGGACGGCATGGGGCAGCAGCGCTGGTACCAGCCACGGTGGCGGTAGCGGTCGAGGTCGAGCTTGTCGGCTTGGCCGCCATCGTCCGTGCTGCGACGGAGAAATGGCGGAGGGCGTCCATGGTAGTGATTGAGAATGGGGTGGGGTGGCGGGAGGAGGAGAAGTGCCGGCAGCGCAAAGGAAACAGCGTGGCACGGCGAGGTGACGGACGGACGGGTGGGAGGAAGCTGGATGGCATCCGAACGATTGGACTGATGGGCTGATATGATGGTTACTCGATCAGATTGATGGATGATGTCAAAGTGGGGGAGTGTGATGCAAAGTGTGACGCTCAGGGGTGTTAGGGCGACGGATGGAAGGCATGGGTGATGCGAGGTCACAGTCGGGGCGACGCCATGGGACAACCGGCTGGCATCCGATCCAGCAGCTCGATATCGATAGCCTAATGACGTGGCTTTATGGTCGGATTGATAAGGGGATGATGGCGTATGAGCCACTACAAGTTGTATAGTTGCGGGCGAGATCGAAGGCGCGGGTGTGTGCACAGCCAGCCAGGCCGAGTGCACGGCCCCCACTCCCTCCCCCCCCCCCCCCTTCCCCCCCGACCACAGCCATCCCAACTCCACCCATCACCTTCAACACCTCGACACGGGGGACGGGGGGGGGGCTTCCAATATCCCCATCAGAGCACCTAACCGGCTCGACATCCCTCTAACCAGCTCAGATATCAAGCCGATGACGTGCTTGCTCTGTCACCGTCGGCTTCCGGAGCAGGCCATGTGGCCATGTGGACCAGCCCCCAATTGGGGGGAACGGCGGAGGTACAAGAAATGCCAGGTGAATGAGCGAGAGACGGTGCGTTCGACGGCGGCAGGAAAGCGAGGTGAGGGTGACGGAAATGGAGAGCAGGGGAGCGGTAGCGGTAGGCCTACCGGTTGACGGGCCACCTCACGCTGGAAGACATACCCAGCAAGGTTGTGTGGAGGCCGGGTTGGCGCGCAGGAAGAGAGCACAGGACGGTGGAAGCGAGGGAACAACGGGCTGCACAGGAGCAACTCAGCCAGCAATCACAGCAGTCGCTGGAGCCATGACTGACAAGCCATCGGATGGAAAGGTCGAGGTCGCAAGCAAGGTCAACGTCGCAGGCAAGGCCAAGGTCGCGGGCAAGGCCAAGGTCGCGGGCAAGGGCGTGGGCAAGCTGAGCAAGAGATCGAGCTCGTCGTCGGGATCAGGTTCGCGATCAGGATCGTCGACGTCGTCTACTTCGAGCTCATCCTCCTCAGACTCGGGCTCAGACTTGGGCTCATCAAGCTCATCGTCGGACTCGCTCTCGTCTGAGGAGACCTCATCATCCGGCGAGTCATCTTGCGCCGCGCCGGCAAACATCGCTGTCCATCGTACGTGCGGCAAGGGGGGGGGGGGGGGGGGGGTGAGGAAGGGAGGAGATTGCCGTGGGAGACTCACTTGCGGCGTGGTATTATCCTTACGAGAGGATGGTAGCCCTAACCGCACCGGACAAGGGCAAGGAGGAGGTGTCTGATTCAGATTCGGAGCTTGGTGCCGAGTCAGGCGATGAGTCGTCAGTGATGCTCGAGGCCGACACAGATGATGACACGGACGTCATTTTCTTGGAAGAGTCCGAGTGCTCCGACTACCTGATCTCGCCACTGCCTCGGACTCCGCAGTCGGGGCAGGTCAAGGTCATGGATACAAACAAGATCGTGGAAAAGGCGCTGAGAGAGATGGCCGTGGTGAGTTCGACCCTGGCGGTGAGCAATGGCCTGGCCATGTCGGTCCTCATGGCGCATGGGTGGAACAACGAGCGCGCCTTGCAGGCCTGGTTCGATGATCCCGACGGGTGCCGGGCATCGGTGGGCGGAAGTAGCGCCGGCGAGATCCCGGCGACCTCGGTCCTGGGTGCCGGCTCCCCGCAGCTCTGCGGGGTCTGCTTCATGGAGGCCGAGGACGAGCTCATCGGGCTCGAGTGCGGGCACGGGTTTTGCGTTCACTGTTGGCGCGGCTTTGTCGAGTGCGAGATTCAGAACGGAAACGCGTGCGTGATGGCGCGATGCATGGCGGACAAGTGCAAGATGGTGGTGCCGCGGAGTTTTGTGGCCTCGCTTGTCGACGCTTCCGCGCTCGACCGGTACGATACGTTCCTCGCCGGCTCGTACGTGGCGGCCAAGGCCGGCGTCAAGTGGTGCCCTAACCCGCGCGGCGGCTGTGATCGCGCGGCGAGCTACCTCGGCTTTGACACCGCAACTGTCGAGTGCGATTGCGGCTTTGCGTGGTGCTTCTTCTGCTCGGAGGAGCTGCATCTCCCGGCGTCGTGCGAGGTTGTCGAGAACTGGATCAAGAAGAACTCAGACTCGGCCGAGTCGACCGAATGGATCCTGGCCAACACCAAGCCCTGTCCCAAGTGTAATGTCCACATCCAGAAGAACCAGGGCTGCATGCACATGACCTGTCGTGCACCCGGTTGCAACTTTGAGTGGTGCTGGCTCTGCCGCGGGCCGTGGAAGGACCACGGGACGTCGACCGGCGGCTTCTACAAGTGCAATCGTTACGAGTCGTCCAAGGCCGCCAAGGAGGATGCCAAGGCGTCCAAGGTCAAGGAGTCACACGACCGCTATGTTCACTACTTTGAGCGGTACCACAACCACGACGTCTCCCGTGGCTTTGCCCGCAAGATCTCTGCTGCCGCCACCGCTGCCGCCGACGAGTACGCCGAGGCTACCGGCTGGAATGGCCGCTTCCTCGTCGAAGCCGCCGAGCTCGTCATCCAGGCCCGCCAAGTTCTCAAGTGGTCCTACGCCCATGCCTACTACATGCCTGAGGACTCGCAGCTCCGCACCATGTTCGAGGACCAGCAAGAAAGCCTCGAGACGAAGACCGAGCACCTCTCCGAGCTCATCGAGCAGCCCATCGAGGAGATGAACGTCACTCATCTTAAGAACTACCGTAAGGTCCTTGCCACATACCTCGGCAACCTGGCTCGGGCTTGGCAGGAGTACCAATGAACACAGCTCACAGTCCGGCGAGCAGGTTGTCGACGTCGGCAAGTAGCGTCTCCAGCTCGCAGGTATGCGTCTCGACGAGGACCTCGGACCGCGACTTAGGCTTCGCTGCCGTCGCAGCAACATCGCTGGTATCGGCCTCATTGCTCTCGGCATCTGCGAGCTCGGGCGGCGGCGTCTCGGGCGGTGGGGCAAGCGCAGTCTCGACAAGCTCGTCGAGCTTGGTATGGGTGTGCTCCTCGAGAAGATTGAGCATCGCGGCGTCGAGTGACTGGGCAAACTCGAGCTCGTCCGGTGCGACAAGTCCCTCGGGCAGCGCAGCCTCAGCCTTGGCCTCGGGCTCAGCCTCGGCCTTGGCCTTGGCCTTCTTCTTCGCCTTCTTACCCGACGACATCCGCAGCGTCGCCTTGCGGACCGCCTGGTCCTCACGTGACGAGAGCTGCGCCACCGCGAGCGCAATCTGTGCCGGCGTGTACGCCGAGAGTGGAATGGTCTGCTCGACCACCGGGCCATCGCCCTTCTCGTGAGCCTTCTGCGCAAGCTCGTGAAGGACATCGACGACAGCGACGACGTTGCGACGCTGGTAAAGGTCGTTGACCTCAAACAGGCGCATCGGATCCATGCCGAACGCCCGTGCAAAGCGTAGAAATGACGCTGTGTTGTCGCGCTGGTGGAATGGATGCGAGTCGTCAAGAACCCGGCACGCACCTGGCAGCAGCTTGTTGCCGATCTGGCAGAGCTTGATGCCATCACGGAGCTCGATCCACAGGTCGTCCGAGCTGAGCGGCACGCCTAACATCGCCACCAGCCAATGGTGGACTTCGACGGTCTTACGTAGATGCTGGATAGCGTTGAGCTTGTTGCGAGTCATGGTGAAGAGCCCGTCGTCTGGCGCCATCGACAGCAGCCGCTCCGCCAGCTGCATTTTAGCCTCGGACGTCAAATCGCCACCACCCGGCGATGCCCATGACTTGGGCCGCGGCGGGCCGCGGCTCTTGGTCTTCGCCGGCTTCGTTGTGGTCTCATTGTCGTCATCGGACGATGGCGCCGACATAACCACAACCGGAGGAGGGATGGACGGATTCGACTCGTGGTCGGCGAGATCAAACTTAAGCGCCGCGGGCTCGGGGTATGCTTCAGTTGGTGCGGTAGTTGCCGACGGTGAAGCTGGTGGTGAAGAGCTGGACGACGAGGACGATGATGGTGACGACGGCGCACCAGCAACAATTGCAGGCGATGCTTCCATCGCCGCGGGCTGCATAGAGGCTGTGCGGGCAGCGACCGCGTCCTCCCAACAAGGCCCAGCGATGGCGGCTTTGAGCTCCGCAACAGAGAGCTTGGGCCATACCTTTCTCTCGCCGGAGAACGCGTTTGAGCTGATAGAGACCTCGTCCAGAAAAGTGCAGAAGATGAGGCCATACGGCAGGTCAGTCAGCACATTGCGATGGGCCACAAGAGAGGTAAGTGCCATGCAGCCCTCGATCGAGTCCGGAATGGCGGCCAGCTTGTTGCCCCACACTGATAGCTGCTGCAGCGCGATCAAACTCCCGATGCTGTTCGGGAGACTTGTAATCTTGTTGTTGCGCACGTTGAGAATCCGCAAGTGGGAAGCAGAGCCAATCCCTTCCGGAAGCTCAGTAAGCGCGTTCTCTTGGGCGTGGACCTCGATCAGGCTGGGAATGGCAAACAGCTCAGTCGGAAGCTCGCGGATCTTGTTTCCACCAATGAAGATGAACTTGAGCTTGGAGAGCCGGCCAATACCCGGCGGGATTTCAGTCAGGGCATTCTTGTGGAGAATGAGCTTGCGGAGCGAGACACAGTTAAACAGTTCATCTGGGAGCGACGTGATCTTGTTGCGGAACAGGTTGAGCGAGACAAGCGCCGTTAGTGCGCCCATAGCCGGCGGTAGAACCCGCAGCTTGTTTCGCTCTGCGTGGAGCGAGATGAGCGTACTCGCCACATCCTCGAACCCAAACTCGGGCAGCTCAGTGATGTTGCATCCGTTGACGGTGATCTTCTCAAACCGAAAAAAAAAACCCCGGGGGGGGGGGGGGGGGGGGGGGGGGGGGTGGTTAGTGGTGGTAGCAAGCCTATCTGATGACGTGGGCGTGATGAGAGTGAGAGGAGGGTAGGAGGGAGGAGCGGCTGTTGTGCATGGGTGATCAGATGTGATCTCTCTTGTGATCAGCCCAAACCAGCCATGCCATACGGTAGCTATGATGACAACCCCGACCTCTTCCACCGCCACATCAATCTCGATTGTTCCCGGGATGATGGTTGAGCGACTTTGTCTCCATCATCACATGCCAGCACGCACGAACCCCCACCAGATCGACAGCAACTTGTCCTCATCCGTCTGCCCTATACCACCACATCCTCCTTACATCCAAACCGACCAACAGACCGACCGAACACTTGCGCCTCGCGTGTGTACTCCCGGCTACCATCCGATGACCCATATCATCGCCCTGCCTCCTTCGCCTTTGTCATGCCCCCCCACACACACACACACGCAATCGTATCCGTACACATGCAGCAAGGACGAGCGGAGGCACACTTCCAATCTTGACCTTCTCAAAGACCAACTCACTTGATTCTCCCCGTGACCGCTCAAACACTTCCTTCTGAAGACGGTTGCCCATGGTGGGAGGATTGGTCGAGAGAGACAGGTATGCCTGTCGGGGGACGAGTGAGAGGGGAGAAGGGGGAGAGGGGGGGGGGGGAGGGGATACTCTGGCCGTAGTCAGTAAGCCCTTCCTTCCAACTTTTGATTGATGAATTCTGCGCAGGAACGATCAATGGCAGCATCTGCAACAGTAGTAATGAATGCCTTCTAACTTGAACATCTTCAGCCTTTGAGCAGCAGTCATGGTAGTATCCCCTTCATACGGTTCTTCTTCAGTTTGGCTAGTGTTTGAGGAGCATCATGTTTCAGAGTGTGACGTTACGCAGACGAAAAAAGCGCGATCATGCGTCGCACTACTTTTTGTACATGAACAACAGCAAGTACATAGAGGCGATGAGTGTGCGAGATGCTTTCGTAGGAAAACTTTAAATGTAGTGACGATCGTAGATACATTAATAACCCTGATATGAGCAGTTCATCACCTATTGGACATGGTCCTCTCCTAGGATAGCATGTTGTCCCAGTGCCATCCCCTCTCCCCATACCATGGCATACGGATACGGAATGACATCCTTCCCAACCCTCCCGGCAAGCTCCCGCGCCATCCGATCCCAGGCTGCGGCATCCCTCTCCCAGAAGGTCCAGTCCGGAAGGACAAGATCATATAGCGCCACGCGCTTGTCGCGGTTGTCGTCGAGGATAGCGGCGATGCGAGGCGCAGAGCATCGCTCCAGCTTGTTCGACAATACCAGGGTGGTAAAGTAGTCGACGTCATCAACAGCAGCAGGAGTCGAGATCGGCTCCATGCATGCAATCTCGTGATAGATCTCGCGCGACTCATCGTCGCACATCGAGCGGATGGTCCGCTCGTACTCGACTGCATCTTCGTAGTAAGAGATAAGAAAGTTGGAGGCGTCGACGCGCGGGCCGATGACGTTGGCTCCATTAACCCGATCGCCGCGGAGGTTGTGTGTCACTGTCACACGTCCGTCGACAAACCATGCGTCAGTGACCGTGTGGCCGGCGAGGAGCGAGTCGCGGGTCCCGAACCCGAGGCAGGTGAGCACAACGTCGGCAGGGAGCTCGCGCCCGGTCTTGGTCACCAAGCCGTTGGATGCAAACGCTGCGATCTCGTCGACGAAAATGGTGACGAGCCCATAGGCAGCCCCAAGAAAGACTACATTAGACGACATGGCCGGGAGGCCGTTGGAGAAGACAAAGTGTGGGAGGCCGTCGATCTCGACAACCGTGTCTGGATTGAGGAGGAGGTCTGAGAGGCCAGCCGCCGCTGCGCCTGTCGCCACCAGGCCATGAACTCGAGCCCACATCGCGTCGAGCTGCGCCTGTCCAAGCTCGGCGGCTGCCGTTTGGTTGAGGGCGTGGCGAAGGACGTAAGTAGCGGCCTCGGGGAAGAGGAGCTTATCGGCGCGACGGGTGAGGACAGTGATGCTCTTGGCGCCTGCAGCAAGGCTCCGCCGCACGTTCTCCACCGCAAATGCACCGAGCCCGACAATGACTACATCGGCATCTGCAAGCTCACTCGAAGCAACATCATCGGCAATGCCACGTGCCACTTTGCCACCAAAGCTCACGTCGTCAAGGCCGAGCGCCGTGGCGCCGCCGACATGATCAGTGAGTGAGCCAGTGCGGATGTGGAGCTCGTCAAAGACAGCAATCGCACATGTCCCGTCATCTACTGCTACCGTCACCGCCACCTTTCCATCATCAGTGTGATCAAAGCTCTCCACATGGACGCCAAACACGGTCCGGGCGATGAGGTTGGCACCTTCAATGTCAGATGCGAGCTGGTCGAGAACATCTGCCCGCGAGCGATAGAACGAACCAAACGGATCGCTCTCATCGTCGTCTGGAAGCGGCGAGCTGTCGTGGAGCGGACGGAAGGAGACCGGGTCTACCTGGACCCGGGACGCTGTGTTGGCCGTCGTTGCCCACACGCCACCGTATGCGATCCGCTTCTCCAACACAATCACCGACGCACCCTCGGCAGCATGCAACCTCGCAGCTTCGCATCCAGACAGCCCGCCGCCCACGATCGCTACTAGACGGCCTTTGCTCACGTCTTTTTCAACACTGTCGCAACTCGCAAGAATTTCAACTGCATGCAACCGCGCTTCCATCTCGGGACACAGCGCATCGACCGTAGCAAGAGCCAGGCCTTGGCCGGCGAGACGGGTCCGTTCCGAGGCAATTGCCTCAAACATGTTCGTCGACGTCAGGCTGGCTACGAGTCCTTCCATGTGGATGAGTGATAGAGAGCGGTGGAGCGGGGAGAGCGTGGACAAGAACGTGGTGGGAGCTGGCTGTCACGAGCCGTCATGCGCGCGGTGGATGCGAGTGTTTGTCGTTTCCGGCTCAACTCGGCCTCTTGTTGCCGTACTGGAGGCTGTTCGAGGAGGAGAGGAGAGCGATTGGATGGGACAGAGGAATGAGTGAGGTATGTAGATGGCGTTGGAGTGTACAGAATGTGTTGAGGGGAAGGTAGTTGTGTGATGCAGATGCAATTACCTGGATGAGGGGTTTGGCTGGAGAGATTCTGCCTTCCATAGAAGATTCTACGATGGTTTTACGCCATCACGGCGCCACTCCGCGCCACGAGCCACGCATCCCGCGCAAGCTCAATCCGGTTCGCAAGCCAAACGGCCGTCTTATCGTCAATCATTTGCAGATGCAGCTGCTTCGGTTTGGTCTTGAGCACCTTGTCGGCGACCTTGTTCGCGAGGTCGAGCGTCGAGCCGGTGACGGTCACTGTGTCGCCTTCCAGCTCAACCGAGACGAGGCCGGCGAGCGGCCAGACCCAGTCGGTTGACGTCTCGCGCTTCTTCGGCTGCACCATGAGCAGGTGCTTATCAGAAACAACCACGTAGTGGCCCTTGCGGTTGTACAGTTCAGCGTGGAACACATAGTGGTCAGTCTTAACCAAATCACCGCCCTTAGCCGTGTCCAGCAGATCCTGCCCGTACGCCGCTACCGGCGAGTACGCCAGTAGCCGCCCGTCGGGGCCAATGTACCGCGGCGGCCGGAGCCGCGCCGCCTTGGCGTCAAAGTACGTTGCTGTGTTGCGGATACCCTCCGCTGTCTTGGTCACAAGATCGAGCGCTCCCGCCACAGGCTTGAAGAGCAGCCCAGTCACGCCCTTGCCCATGCCCTTGACAAAGCCCTTGAAGCCGGCCTTTTTGGCGCCCTTGTACGGCTGGTATGCAATGCCGGTCACACCTTCAAAGATGCCGCGCCCAAACGCTGTAAAGCCCTGCTTGAGACCGTCACCCACGTGCTTGGGCTTGTTTCGCTCCGCGCGCGCACGCCGCTCGATATACTCGTCGTCAAGGGTGAGGTATCCCAGCCCGCGCCCCACGGTCCCGGTTACTGCCGCCGCCGAGTTGAACACGCCGTACACAGAGTTCTTGAGCAGTGAGCTTGTCCCACGCCCAAGACCCTTGCCAAACTCGCGCGGCGACTGGGTGATGCCCTTGGCGGGCTCTACGAAAAAGTCGGCCACGCCGGTGCCCAGGTTGTTGAACAGGCCCACCGGGTTGCCAAGCACCTCCACAGACCCGATCAGCTTGTACGACTCGGCCACGCCCTGCATCACATAGTGCGTAGTGATCCGCGACACAACCTCGTTCTGCGACTCGAACACGTGCTCCAGCATGAGCAGGTTGAACTTGAGCGGCGCGGCGTCCACGTTGGCAAAGGTGAACCCGAGAGCGTGAAGAACCGACATCGAGCCGCCGACCTCGTCGTCATTGCCGTTTCCGGCGCCATCCGACGACGACCCCTCATCGTCACCGAGCGCAGACGACGAGTACGTCACGTTAATTTTGATCGGGTTCAGCAGCAGCGTCTGAAAGTAGAACAGCGCCGCGCCGCTCTGCTCCACACCCACCTCTTCCGCCGCTGCCGCAATGAACGCCTGCGAGACAGACATCGGGCCTGGACCAGAGTCTCCATCGCCTTCGCCCGTCGGAGGCGTCGGTGCCTCGGGCAGCGTCGACACAAAGGCGAGCACCCGACTCAACCACGCCTCCTCCACCATCAGGTTCATCTCCTGAAGCAGGAACGACGCCTGATGGTAGTACTGGATGTCTGGATACTTGACCGACTTGGTGTACCCGAGCGTCACCACAGGCTTCTCACCGAGCTTGTCCAGCCGCGGGCCAAGGACGACAGGGTATTGCGCGAGGCCGAGTGCGTTGTCCAGCTGGACGTTGGCCACAAGCACCTCCAGCCGCTCGTACATGTTCGACACCGAATAGTTGGCCGCAATACTCTCAAGCCCGAAGTACAGGATCTCAGTCGGCTGGGCGTCGACCACAGACACCGCTACGCCCGCGATGTCTGCCGTCACGCCAAACGACATCACTTCCTCCTGCTCCTCCGGCCGCAGGGCTGCCACATCGCCCGAGCCCACCACAGAAGACGACGCCACAGACTCCTCGTACTCGGTCTCGTCGTCAAAGTCCGGCGCACGGACCGCCGCTGACAGCGCCGCAAGCTTCGAGCCCTTGTCCATGACCCGGAACACCCGTGTCGGCCCGTCGGGGAAAATGTCCACCACAGCCCGCGGAAGGCCCGACCCGATCTTGTACGGCTTGTAGTGCTTGAACCGCGAGAGGTTGTAGCTCTTCACCCCACGCTGCGCCTTGAGCCGCGCCTTGATCTTTGCCTTGACACGTGTCGCCTTGGATGTCGACTCGGCAACCGCAATCCGCGCGTCGACAGCCTCCTCACTCGCCATGTCGCCAAACGCCACCCACAGCCGCCGCTTCGATGCAGGCGCGTCCCATGCGTACGGCATCCGGCAGAGCGGTCCAAGCTCCAGCCCGAGCTCAGGGTGGCCGTCTTGCCAGCAGAAGATCGGCAGCGACGACATGTTCTCCAGCATAAACGGCGCAGTGCCCGTATCGGGCGAAACGACCACGTACACACTCGCGCCCACGAGCTTGACCTCCACAGAGAAAATGTACACCATGTCCGTCTCTTCGTTGTAGCACTTGAGCCCAAACACGCCCAGGTCATCGATCGAGAACGGGCCCGATGGCAGCCACCCGGCGCCCTCCACCACCAGCGACACATGCCGCTTGAGCTTGGAAGAGACCCAGTGGAACGGCGTCCGCCCGCCTGCCGCAACAGGGACTCCAGTTCCCTCCGGCGCGCCTACCTGCTGCACACGCACCCCAAAGTCTGCCACCCGGTTAACAATGACGAACCGCGGCGCCACAGTCACCTGCTTGACAACTGCAAACGGCCCCGTCCCGGTCGTCACCGACACGCCAAACTCGAACAGCGCCGTCGCCCGCTCGACACATGCATCATCGCCGCTGGCCTCGGCCTCGGTCTCGGCCTTGCCTTCAGCCGTGTCCTTGGTCTCGGTCTCAGCCTCAGCCTCAGCCTCAGCCACTTCCGGCAGCGCCATGCCCTTGACCTGTACCACACCGACCGAGCCCACCGCATCGATCGAGAACGACTTGCTAAACTTGGACTCGCCGCCCACCCGAATTGCAAGCTTGCGCTTGAGCAGGCCGGCCTCTGGGAAGGCGGTCATCAGCAGCTCGCCATGCGGAAGCCCTCCGCCAGGCAGACCCGCAACCTCGGTGTGCTTGTTGTTGAATCCGTGCTCCTGAGTCACCGTCAACGGCAGGTGCGACTGGTTGAGGATCCAATACGGTGCAAACACGCCCACGTGCCGCCCACCGCCACCGGCTGTCTTGCGGCGCAGCAGCTCGAGCTTGAGCTCGCGTCCCGCGCCATCGTGGAGGACCACAAATGGATCTGTCTTGGGCGTCCGCGTAAAGCCAAGACTCTTGGTCGCTGGCTTGGCAAAGACCACGGCAGACTCGGACCACTCGTGGTAGCCGAGGCTCGGAATCCGCACCCGAAGCAGGATCGGGTGCCCTAGGTGGAGGCCGTAGACGTGGACCTCCTCGCCCTCGGCAAGCTCGCCCTCCAGCGCGTGCTCGGACTCGGCGTCTTCCAGCTGGAACTCCATCGCCCCGGGCACCACTCCCTGCAGAACTAGCGGCGGCGAGAGCGTGAGGGTGTGGTGCGGGAGCGAGGCTGGCACGCTCGACATCATGCCCTCCTCCACCGCAGAGTTGCGAGTGATCATGACCACCACAGACCAGTCTGGGTCCAGCACCGAGCCCATCCCGTTCGCGGCCGTCTCCTCCAGGGCTGACGCTCGCGTCTCGCCACCCATGTACCCGTACCACGGCCGCTCGCCGTTGTCTTTTCGCGACACATGCTCCTCGTAGTCGGTCCACGCAAAGCTCATCTCCGGCCAGTGGTGGGCAGACTTGCTACCCGGCACAATGGCCCCGGCCGCCGGCCGCACCTTGACCCGCGCCGAGTGGGCAAGGTGGATCGGCAGGCAAGTCTCGCCCTCGGGCGCAAGCGGAGGCAGCACCACAGGTTTCATGTCAGGGCAGTCGAGCCGGATCGACATCGGCATCACCGTCTTGTTCACCACCCGCACCATCGAGAGCAGTGTCACCACCTTGGTATCGCCCTCAAGCGCAACACGGACCTCGAGCATGATCGGCGGCCGCTCGGCTTCGACCTTGCCTGCTCGTGAGCTCGTCCGCGGCACCAGCGTGTACCGGTACTCGCCGACCCGGTCGACTGGAATCTGCGTCACGTCACCAAAACCAGCAACCCGGACCACAATGTAGTGCGGCCGGTCGATGCCATACGACCGACCGCTCTCGCCGGCGTCGTTGCCGCTCGAAAGCGCGCCCGACGCCACTGCAGCCTTAAAGTCAAACGGCTCTGCGCCAAAAATCGGCAGCCGCCGGACCTCGTCCGCCGCCAGCCAGTACTTGACCGAAGCGCCGGTGGCGTTGACAATGCGGTACGGCTCAAACGGCACGTCGGCCGCCACGCTCTCCGAGCTCGCAGCATCCTCCTCGGCAAGCATGTACGAGACCTTGTACATGGCCTCCACAAACGTATGTGTCACCGTCACGTTGAGGACTGCAGGCGCCTCTACGTGGATGTGCATCGCCTCCGGCTCCACCGTCGACGTAACGTGCGCGATGAGGCCCCACTGCTCCACCATGGGCTCCCACAGCGCAAGCTTGTTGTTGTAGTAGTCCGAGGTGAGCGCAAGCGCAACCCGCGCGTCCATGTTCGACGACCAGTTGGTGACTGCTGCCTGCACCGTCCGAATCCGAAAGTCGACCAGTGGTGTCTCCTGCCCGGCCAGCCGGTCGTTGATGACCACCGCCCGGAGCGCCACAACCTCCGCGTTGAGCTTCTCCACAAATACCTCTGCCACGGCTCCAGCGTCGCGGGCCGCAGGCGTCAGCTCCGCCGCAGGCTTGACGCCAAATTCGGCCTTGCACGCGCGCCCGTCATCCGAGCCCGACGCCTCGGACCCGATCAAGAAGTTGTCCAGGTCCAGGTCCATAGCGTCGTCCTCTACGTCTGCCATCACTGCGTCTGCGTCGACCGTCTCGATCTGGTTGGCATTGATCGCATCACTCAGCGTGGTAGTATCTCCGCAGTCGGCCTTTGCATCGTCCGCGCTCCCGTTCTCGACCGGGGCCGGCGAGAGCGTCGCCATGATGGCATTGATCAGCAGGTAGTCGCGGTAGGCAATCCGAAGGTCGATAGCGTCCAGCTTGGCCTCGATCTCAGTCTCGGTCACATACGTCGGCAGAGCCTGCCCAAGCTGAGCTGCCGACCCGACGGCGCCCGACGCCGAGGCCTTGGCCGGCGCCGACGCGCCCGCCCCGCCGTTCTCGGGGTCCGTTCCTGGCGCCGGGGTCGGCGCCGGCGCCACAAGCGCCAGCCGCTGCAGCCGAGTCAGCTCCTCTAGCCGCGACTCAACATCGTACTTGGCGGTCAGGTTGCACGGCTCCATGAGCACAAGCTCGGTCGTCTCGCGCGCCGAGAGCTTGCACTTGATAATGTCCAGCCCGCGAAGCCGGGCATCGATTGCCATCCGCGGTTTGGGCCCGGCAACGCCGAGGTAGTCCATGTCCAGCGAAAAGCCGAGGACTAGCGCCTTGGTGTCGACCGCCGTTGGGCTCTCCACCAGGCAGAACTCGGGCTCGACAATCGAGATTGCCATCGTCATCACTGGATCGTAGGCTGGCTTGGTGCTCGCCAGCGGCGCCGGCGTGGTGGCATCGTTGCTTGCGTCGCCGGCCGCGCTCTTGCCAGCCTCAGCCCGCGACGGCTTGCGGACCCGAGCTCGGGTCCGGCTTCGGGTCACCACCGGCTCGGCCGAGGTGTCGAAGAACTCGTCCGACCCGTCGTGGGAAGCCTCGTCGTCGCCAGGCGATGCTGCGTACTCGTCGCCGCCGTCGTACGCGTACTCGTACTCGTACTCGTACTCGTTGGCATCGGCAAACGACTTGGCCGGATCGATAATGTCGAGCGGCGGTGCAAAGTAGTCTTGCAGCGCAAAGACGGCGTCAAAGACGATGACGCCGCGCGGCTTGGCGAGGCCAAGCACAATGTGCGAGTCACCGTTCGGCTGCGCGGTGTAGTTGACAGTCAGCTGCGGCGACTCGATGTCGGCCACATACGCTAGAATGTCACGGTGGACCGAGACGTCGTCGCCGCCGGCGCGGGTGTCGCGGACAGTGATGGCAAAAACAGAGACGTCGGCGACCATGACTTCGTCCGAGTCTGTCCAGTACTTGACGTCGACGTTGGAAAGCATCAGCGACGCGATCGACGCGTGGCCCTTGAACAGCTCGAGCTCCAGCTCGTCGATGACAATAGCGTCGACAAGCATGGTAAGGAAGGTCGGTGTCTCGCTGTCTGCGGCCGGCGCCGGCGTGTTGGCGGCCGGCGGAGGCGAGCCTGGCACGCCCAGCGTGTTGGCCGAATGCTCGGCGCGGCGGGCGGCAACCAAGGCGTCGCGCTTCTTTGCCTTTTCGCGCGCAGCCTTGCGGGCAGCCTCGGCGGCCTCGTTCTTGGCGGCGATCTCAGCGGCCATCTTGGCTGCCAAGGCGACGTCGTCGGCGGCGTCGGCTGGAATCTCTGCCATGTTCTCGGACGCCACTACTGTGAGCAGCACATAGTCGCGCTGCTCCAGCACAAGCTTCATCTTGGGCGAGTAGCCGGCAATGATCATTGGCGGGACCGACTTGACCCACGGGCAGAGTGACTGCTTGACGGTCAGGGAGAGCGAGGCGTCGGCAAGGAGGTTGCGCCAGTTGTCCGGTGCCGACGCCTCACCCATCAGCAGCCGCATCTGGGTGATCGAAATCGACATGACGTCCATAACCACGTCGGACTCGGCGTCGTAGTCCTCGAAATCGTTTTCGATCGCAACCTCGCCGAGGTCCAGGACCAGCACGTCGTCGCAGTACGAGGCCCGCGGCATGATGATGGTCGGCGAGATAAGGACGACGTCGAGCTTCATCTTGGAGATGACCGGTGTGCCAGTAGCCTCGTTGTGTGCAGCGCCTGAAGGCCCAGCCTTTGCAGAGCTCTCCGCCCGAGCCCGCGGAGGCTGGACGGCAATAGCAGGCGCCGCCGCAGCGGCCGGGACCACCGTGATCGATGCGGCTTGCTCGCGCGCGGTCGCGGCTGCTGCCGTGGCAGCCTCTTCCACGTCGAGCATTCGCCCCACCGTGACGGTGTTGTAAGTGAGGAGGTCGGTGATGAACCGGTTGAGGTAGACGAGCCGGACCGAGGCCATCCGGGCGTAGACTTTGGTCTGATAGCCTGGGTAGTCTGCGGCGTCCTCGTCAAAGGTGTTGTACGCAAAGGTGAGGACCTTGTCGCCGTCGATAGAGAGCACGTCGGTGTACTTTGTGCCCTGCGACGAGCAGTCACGAAGCGAGAGCGCACCGAGCGCGCCCACTGCCTCCATGGTCACCGGCCGTTGGTGGTAAGTCACATTCGACGCGCCGAGGCCGACGGTGGCCAGGTCGCCGGCGTTGTCGCGGCGGGCAAGGGTAATGACGACGCCATCGAGCCGGGCGCGGACACGCATAACAACGGGGTCAAAGGCCGGCGCGGTGGCCACGTCTGCGTCGGTGTTGAAGAACACATCGTCACCGTGCATCTGCGGCGAGCCGATGGCAAAGGTGGTGGGCGAGGCGCCGAGGACGCCTGGTCCACTCGGAACCGACGTAGCCAGGCCGGCCTCCTCGATGTACTTGGCCTGCGCCCGCATGAGCCGGTCGTGTTCGCGGCGAGCGGCGGCCTTTTGCTTGGCCAGCTCCTCGGCGGTGGCAGCTGGGCCGCCCCAGCCGACGTACGAGAGCATGGTGGCGGCACGCGAGACTAGGGTCGACGCGCCCGAGACGGACGAAAGGTCGTCGCGGACCTCGGCAGCGGTGCCCGAGACCGAGAGCGAGCGGGCGCGTAGCTCGCCTGACTCGGCCTCAACCGCCGGCGGAAAGGCGTACGTGTTCCACAGCAGTGCCTCATGGATGGTATCCGGATTGACACGGATCCGGAGCTGGTTCATGTTGACGTCGATGGCGGTCTCGGTGGAGTCAAAGGTGGTGATAAAGACCGGGCAGTCTTTCTGGACCGCCACGTACACCACGTTGAGGATGGTGAGCTCCGACGCTGCGCCGGTGGTCGACGAGCCAATGAGCGGCGGCGAGCCCGGCGCGCCCACCAGATCGTCGACAGCGAGGCTCGAGACGCCGAGGTTGACCTGCATGTCAAACGGCCGCTGAGTGTAGAGTGCGGCTACGCCGCCGAGGCGTGCAGCGAGAATCGGCCGTGGCTCGTCAGTCCGGCCCTGAGTGGCCGGGTCAAAGTCGTCGAGGAGCGTGACGTCAATCGAGTGAATGACAAAGTCGATGAACATGAGCTGGCGCTGGACAAGGATGTCGATGTCGCGGATCTCCTCTGCCTGGGCAGCAGCGGCAGCAGCTTCCTCATGGGCGCGCTCCAACTCTGCGGCGTGGTCGACCACCTCTGCGGCGTAAGCGGCGTCAGCAGCCGCCTGCGCCGCAGTTGGTGCGCCGTCGAGTCCCTCGTCGCCGAGCGCGAGCGGGTCGGCAGCAAGGGCAGGCACCGGCGGGCCGGCGGCGGCTGCCACTGCGTCTAAAATCGCCATCAGGTCGCGGACCTTGTGGGTTGAGGCCTCGACGGCCAGCGACGGCAGCGAGCCCTCGACCTTGACCTTGGTAAACTTGGGATTAGACGGGAGGACACAATTGGCGACCTGGGCCGAGAGCTCGAACGAGCGGACGAGGAACTCGTGGCGGAGCAGGTCGTCGCCGTCGTCGCCAGTCGAGGTCGGGACCCGGGACATGAGCACATCGAGAGGGACCCGGGATGTGTCAGTGACGAGGACGCGGACGTCGTGGAGGGCGACGTTAATGATGTCGTACAGCGCCGGGTCGTCAGAGGAGAGGGCGTTCAGCTCGGCGGCGGACTTGGACTCGCCCGGCGGAACAAGTTGCGAGTGGGCCGAGAGCTTGCCGAGGTCAACAACCAGCATCTTTGTGGTCTCGTCGGTCATAGAGCATGGGACGAGGATGTGCGGGGCGGCGACGTCGAGCTGTAGATCGGTGGTGGTGTGGTTCTCCACGGCGTAGGCAATGTTGTTGGCGGCTGAGAGGCGAAGCGAGTCGACTTGGTATTGGTAGGCCTTGGAGAGGTCGTCGAGGGCCTCGGCTGAGTCTGCGCCGGCTGCGGCGGTGAACATGGTGGAGATGCGGGTGACAAAGCCGGCGTTGTACACTACATCAAGCGGGCGGGCCGAGAGCTTGACCACCATGTCGGCGTGCTTGTCGAGCGGGGTCTGCTCGTAGAAGAGGTCAATGAGCGGGACGACCGAGCGGTCGACGCCCGGCGGCGGCGGCGGCGTCGACACGATGAGCGGGTAGCGGGTGTCGGGGTAAACTCGTCCGAGACGGAGAGCTCGGCAATGCGGACACGAGCCTCCATGTTGGCGGGCCGCTGCTTGTAGTCGACGACAAGGCCGTTGAGGGCAGTGGTGGTGAGCGGCGCCGACTCGTCCTGCTTGAGCGAGATGGAGAAAGTGCCGAGGCTAAAGGTGGCCTTGGTGTGGACATAGCCCGGCGGAACTTCGGTCTCGTGCATCTCGCCGTCTTCATAGTCGATGGCCGAGTAGAGGAAGGCACGCTGCTCGTCGGAGAGGGCGAGGGCCGAGCCCGAGGCGTCGGACGAGGCAGCTGCCGGTTCGCCCTTGCTCTTGCCCTTGCCCTTGGCCTTGGCCTTGTCTTTGGCCTTGTCCTTCTTCTTCTCGACACTCCCTCCGCCGCCGAACCAGCCGGAGAACCAGCCACCAGACGAGGCCTTTTTGGCTTCTGCGCGGGCGTCGAGCTCGTCCTTGATCTGGGCGTCTGCAATGGAGCGGAAGTAGCGGATGTCGTCAAAGAGGAGGCGCGACTCGAGGATGGCGAGGGTCTTCTCCTCCTGCTTGGTCATCTTGGTCGGCTCGAGCTTGTGCTTGGAATAGAGCTTGACGTACATGCGCTTGTCCGAGATGCGCTGGTTGAAGAAGGCCGGCGACCACGAGAGTGAGTTTGCACGGACGTCTGCAAGGACGCACTCGCGAGCCAGGGCCCACCACTCTGCGCCGTTTGTGGGGCGAGAGGCCGGCTTGTGTTTGCGGTATTTGTAGCCGCGCGAGTAGAGTGAAAAGCCCTGCGAGAGGGCCATGGCCGAGCCAAACTGGTCCTCCTCCATCTCGACCTGCAGGGCGTCGAGCTCGATGGTGACCTGGATCTTGGGCACGGCCATGTCCGGGCGGGTCCGCTTGTTGAGAATGAGGTGGGTGGTGCCGGAGATGGGGCGGACGAGGTAGTGGTGGCCGACTGGCGCACCGACGCGCGGGACAAGGGCGCCCATGGAGTGCGCAAATCGCGCAGGCGGAACAGCACCCACAAATCGTGGCTGGACGCCCGGCGGCGTCGGGTTCCAGTACACACCGAGGTTGCGGAGGTCGACAACCTTGTGGACGAGCGGATGGTCGCCCTCGAGAAACTTGCGCTCCCAATTCTCGTCGGTCGAGTACGCCGAGAGGTTCTCGAGCGTAATGCCGCAGGCAAAGGGAGCGTCTGGGTTGGTCACGTCGTCCTCGTACCGGATGTGGATGTTGCGGATGGAGACCTGGATGTTGTCGACGACCTTGGCGGTGAGCCGCGAGGTAAAGGTGTCTGCCGGCTCTTCAGGCGTCTGACCAGCGCGGGCCGCCGCAGCCTGGGCCTTGGCATCCTCCAGCGCCACAAGCTGAGCCTGCTTGGCCGCCTGGGCCTTGGCGTTCTCGGTCTTTTCGTCGTACGGCTCGGCAGCCTTTGGCCCAGCGACAACGTAGACGTCCGAGAGCTCGGCGACGACCGGCTTGGACTTGAGGTTCTTCCAGTCGGCCTTGAGAACGAGCGAGCCAATGACACCACGAATGACTGTAACCGGGAGCTCTAGGGAAGCCAGAGCGTCCGGCTTGAGGTTCAGGTCGTGCAGGACAACGTCACCTGTGGTGCAAGCGGGTAGCATGTGCTCGGAAAAAGGTCGTAAGTTTGGGGGATGGATGAGAGGGAAAAGCAACACTAGCCGCCGCCGTCACCGCATGTGACAGGACAACAAAACATGGAGATGACGTACCTCCCCAGATAGAGATGGACAACTGCTTGGGGTCAATATTGTCTACAAAGTCTCCCAAGTACTTGGTCAGTAGACCCGCCACCATTCCCTCAAACATGGTTGAAGGTGTGGTGTTTGGGAGCGAGAGGTGGTTGGGGAAGGGGTGGTGGCGGTGGGTGGGGAGGGGGTGAACGTGGTCGTGGTCGTGATCTTGATCGATCGGCAGGCGATCGATCGGAAGTGGCTTTTTGTTTTCTTTGATTCTCGTCGCGGGTAAGCAGAGTGTTGGTGGTAATGATGATGAGATTGTGGCCGGATATGGTTGATGTCGACGGCTTGAGGTTGAAGGTGATGTGGAGGTTGCTGGTGAGTATGGGTTGTGTGGCCGTTCTCGGCAGTCAAGGTCCAGATCCCTTTGCACCACGTTGACTTGACTTGCCTCTCGGGGTGAGTTGCCGAGTGGTGGCCGAGAGGCAATGGCAGCGACTCGTCGAGTTGGCGGTGAGCTGTGGCCGAGCTGTGGCCGAGCTGTGGCCGAGCTGTGGACGAGGGTGGACGAGGTGAACGGGTAGACGGCTACGGCTATAGCTACCGCTCTCTGAGAGTGGTGACTCGTATTGTACAGCATGTCTATACCTCGTTCTCGGTCTGTACCGACTTCAGTTGCCATGCTGTTGACTGGAAGTGGAGAAGGCGATGGCGGTGGTATGAGAGGTGGTCTGGGCGAGGTCGATGATGATGACAATGACGATAGAGTTGGGCTGTATGTGGGCGTTGATGGCGGGTATGATGAGGATGATGGTGGAAGAGCGTATCGTGGTGGGCATAGAGGTGGTGGTCGTGGTGGAAGACATCGCATGGGTCATGATCCGGAACTCGCGTCGGTCATTGGGGTCGAGGGCGAGCTCGAGTCTGGTCCGGTCACGCCGAGAATCGTCACCTTTGCGGTGGAGACGCAAGAGGTTGACGCGGATGGTGAGGTTGATGTGGTGGCTCTAGCGCCGGGTGGGAGTGGAGAAAGAACGGCAGCTGGTGTGGGGCTTCCTCCGGGTACTGCGCATCGGCATCGCGGCGCGCGCGGTCTTGGCGCGGTCCATCACCGGCGGCAGTCGCCGGCTCAGCGGCGGTTGGCATCACGTCGGGCATCGCCCGGAATGAGTCGGTCCGCCTCGCGCGATCGCGAGTTCGGGCCGCCTGGCGGCGGCGTCGGCAGCGTCAGTGGCGGGCCGGTGGTGGCGAGTGCAGGGGCGGGAGGCAGCGGCGGGAGCGGCGAGAGCCTTCCGGGGCAGGTGCGGCCTGCACCGATTGCGCCGTCGCAGGCCAACGTGTTCAAGGCAGCAGCGATCAAGTTTCTGGTGGGGATCAAGCTAGGGACGCGGAGCCACGGAACGCGGTACTGGGGCGACGTGGAGACGTTAGCGCAGGGCCGGAGCGGCGAGGGCGAGGGGCGAGCCGGCGCTGAGCCGGGCATCCGCTCGCTGATGGCTGATGATGGCCTAGTGGAGGTTCGCAAGTCGCAGGCGGTTCACTCGCACAACGTGGTCTCGATCCGATCGCTGCAACGGTCGCGGCAGGTGTCGCTGCTCGGCTCGATGATGTCCAACTGCCGCATCTTCTTCTCGGTCCCGTTCTCGGAGGAGACGAGCGGTGCAACGGATGGTGGCGACAACCTTATATGGTGCATGTACATCGGCCCGATCCTGCACTCGCCGCCGTTTGCGCTGTTCTCGGTGATCAAGTCGGATTCAAAGCTCCGGGTGAGGACGGCTGGCATGGGCGGGAGCGGGAGTGGGCCGGGCGGGCTGGCCGGCGGCGGCGAGCTCGACGAGGTCGACCACTCGTGGCTCTTTCTCCGCAAAAAGCGAGCGGCGTCGCACCGTGACTTGCTCCGCCCGGTCTGGGTGGGTAAGACGTTTGAGCGGCTTTGCGGCGATGATGACGGCGGTGGCTGGAGTGCGGCCAGCGGAGTCAGTGGTAGCGGCGGCGGGAACGAGCGCGAGATGCACGAGCGGCGGATCAGTGACGACGGCGGGAGCGGGCACGAGAGCGAGGGCGGCGACGACGCTGGCGAGGAAGCTGACGGTGGCGGGGTAGCCAAGTCGGGCTACGATCCGTACTTTCTGGACAATCCGTCGCTGCGATCTGGCACGGAGCGAGTGCTGTATCAGCTTCCGGGGCTTATGATCTCTGTCGTTCCTTATGTGGCACCGAAAGAACTCAAGCGGCAGCTCAACGAGCAGTTCCGGCAGCGGCACGAGGAGCTGCACCCGTCGCTGACGCTGGGCCGGATACGCGGGCTGAAGCGGACGATGCTGGGGGTGGCGTCGGAGGTCGGGCTCGATCTCTCGACGGTTGCACTGGCGTACGTGTACTTTGAGAAGCTCATCATTGCCGGCAAGGCCGTGGGCGCGACGCTCAAGCTGCTGGGCGCAGCGTGTCTGCTGCTGGCGGAAAAGTTCAACGGGCGTAAGGCGGGCGAGTACAACGCCCTGCTGGACGCGCTCTCACGGGCTTTTTCGGTCTCGATGCGGTACGTGATGCGGACCGAGTTCCGCGTCATGATCCAGCTCGAGTTTGCGCTGCATGTGCAGGTCCAGGAGGCGCTGCCGCACCTGACGCGGCTGTGCTCGGACCTCAAGAAGGATATCAGCGAGTTTGGTCCGTTCTCACCGTTTCAGCTCGCGTATCTCAGGGCGTTTTACTCGTCGGTGCCTGTCGAGCTTGCACAGCACCAGCTAGATGAGGAGCTGGACGCGTGGTCGGACTCGGATAGTACTGGAGGCGGTGGCGGCGAGATGTAGAGCTGGCGGTGAATGGTTTACAGCGACTCGCGGACGCCAAGGTTGAGCGGGAGCTTGGCGTAGACGCGCATAGTGTGAGAGGCGAGGTCGAGCATCTGCAGGTACTCGTCGGCACCGTCCTGGAGAGCCTTGTCGGCAAGGGCCAGGCGACGCATGATAAAGGCCTTCTGGAGGTCTGAGATGTCTGCGGTGGCGACGACCCAGTCGGAGAGAGCAATGACAAGCTTGTCGCCTGAAAAGCCGTCGAGGACCAGGTCCTCAACAGCAGCCTTGAGCTGGGAGAACTTGTTGGAGCGGATGACATCGAGAAGGGCGTCGAGGCGGGAGGGTGGGAGCTCGCCGGAGAGGTCAAAGACGGCGTCGGCGTCGAGCTCGGCGCCGTAGAGGCGGAATCCGGACTGGAGGAGAGTGACGGCCTTGCGCATGTCACCGCCGGAGACCTGCATAATAGCGTCGAGGACGGCCGGGGCGACGGCGAGACCTTCGTCGGCGGCGATGCGAGTGACGCGGGCCGTGACGACGTCTGCCGGCAGCGGCTTGAAGCGGAACTTTGAGCAGCGCGACGTGATGGGGTCGATGATGCGAGAGACGTAGTTGCCGATGAGGCAGAACCGAGTAAACTTGGAGTACAGCTCCATGGTCCGGCGGAGCGCCGACTGAGCTGCAGGCGTCAGCGAGTCGGCCTCGTCGAGAATGATGAGCTTGATGGGCGGGCAAGGGAAGCCCTCGACGGTGGTCTTAGCCACCGCAATCTTTGCAAAATTCTTGATACGAGTCCGCACCGCAGCAATACCACGCTCATCCGAGGCATTGAGCTCAAGGACCCTCTCCTTCATGAGCGGACCCAGAGCTGATGAGCAAAGGCCAGAATAGCCGAAGTCTTTCCCGTGCCAGGCGGTCCGTAGAACAGCAGATGTGGGAGCTGGTCATTATCCACACATCCCTGCAGTGTAGCAACAACTTCGTTTTGATGCGCAATGTCAGAGAGGGTTTTTGGCCGGCTATGGGTATGGGTGGGTGAGGGAAGGGGGAGATCATGATCGAGATTGATCGGTTAGTTGGCGGTGGTGGAAGGGAAGTGGGCGCTGTGAGTGATCATGTTCGAGAACGCTGGCCAAGCCAAGCCAAGTTCCGGATCACATGTCACATGCTGCTACTCATAGTCGACGCGCTGCTTACTTTGACCATGCAATCCGCCCTGTAGCGACGACGCGCAGATCGGCACGGCTCGTTCAAGGATGAGGCCATGGTAGTTGTTTACGGCGACCCAGTTCCGCGTGACCACGACTTGCTGCGGGCGGACCTGGTGCGCTGCAGCAGGAACGGCGGGCTTGGCCACTCGCTCGGCAGCTTGCCGACCGCGGCACCGTACTCCTCCGCTTTCAACGATTCGACGAGAGCGATCCACTCGCTCTGTCTGCCATTGTCGACGGCTTGGTACAGCTCCATCACGCCACCCAACGCAAATACGTCGTGCGCAACCGCCATGATGGCTGTTGAGTTGACACAACCAGGCGCGCGTGACCCGTCGCGCACCACACGGAGACGTGCCGGGTACACGGTTCCGACCGGCCGCGCAAGGTCAAAGTCAATGAGGTAACCTTTGCCGTTGTTGCCAAAGACAATGTTGCTACGGCGGACGTCGCCATGGACAATGCCCGCGGCATGGAGCTTCTTCAGCCGGGCCGCCACGTCGTCAAAGTGGGCCGTAGTCACGCCCGTGTCGTCAACCTCAACATCGGTCACAGCCTTGGTGACAACGACAGCAACATGACCAGGTAGCGCCTCGACCGTCTCGTTGTGGGGTCCGTGGAGAACGGTGAACGCTTTGTCGACCACCATCAAGCACATCCGCAGCTCGGGCGACGCAATCGTCCACGCATCCAGGTTCGGCCAGCGGCAGGAGGAGGGGCGGAACCACTTGAAGACAAATCCGGCGACAACCGCCACGTTGGGCCCAAACTGCTGCGGCGCAAGGCTTGGGTCCGCCAGGCGCTTGACCATGATCTGGGTGACCTCGGACATCGAAACTGCAAAGCCGGCCACAATGTCCACGTACGATGTGAGCGAGTCGGTCTTGAGGAGGCCCACAGCTACATGCTGCACCTGGTTTTCGCCGACAAGGTGAGCTGCAAGTTGCAGCGAGATGTTGGCGCCGGAGTTTTCCGGCGTGGGAAACGACCCCGAGAGTGAGAGGATCGAAATCACAGCAGGGTAGCCAGCAGCAGCCAGCCCCAACGCAGAAGCGTACGCCTCGACTTGTCCCCCCTTGGAGGAACTGCCGGGCTCAAAGATGCCAAAGCCGAGCTTGACCTGCTGGGAGTGGAGGCCCCAGAGTACGTCCGGCTGCGCGTTGCGGAGTACCGGGTGTTCGACCCACATCCACGTCCGCAGTGGGCTTCGGTTGAACACAACAGCATCAGCACTGCGTGCGTCCGAGGAACTGGGATCATGCGAGTCTTCGCGGCTCTCGCGCGCATTCGTCACCCGAACCGGAATCTGCTCCAGTTGCGGGTTGGTCAGTTCTTCCTCCGCCTCGATCATCGCGGCAAGCAGCTCGGTTGCCCGACGGTTTGAGTCTGGACGTGACGACGACGATCCGGACTGGGCCAGCTCCGACGTGATAGCGGCCAAACGCGTTGTTGCGCGCTCGACTGATGTCGCGCTGGCAATGACCTTGTCGAGATCTGCTCGATGCTGCAAGCAAAATCCAAAGCACTGGCCGTGTGCTTGGCCAGCTCCGTGTCACTCGGAAAGGAGTCGAGATCTCGTCGCGAAGAAAGACGTAAAGCGACGACGTGAGCTCCGAGAGGAAAGTGCGTTCGAGATGGAAGGTCTGCATTGGGTCAGCATCAAGCCCGACACACGGGCTAGAGCTGGAGGTGAAGACCAGAGGCCAGAGAGATTGGGTGATGTCACGCACAGCCTTTTGCGTAGCAGCCTGCAGGTTACCAACGCGGCTAAACATTCCCAGGGCGACGTTGTGGTCGAGCTCGACAAACTGGCAAGTGGGCGGAGAGGCAGCAGCGCCACTGCCGAGGTCTTCCGGCCCACTGGCAAGATCGGCCACGGACAAAGCTCCACTGCTTGCCGAAGGTGACTGGCTCTCCTGCTCCGGCCATCCAACCATCTTCAGGTGCCCGGTCACCAGCAGAGGGTAGAGTGCTGCCGGATCCGAGACCGGCGATAGGTGTGACGCAAAGCCCTTTGCCCTAGACTTGGAGGCTGCCCCGTGCGGCTGAATAATGCCGATCTGCGGGTGGAGCTTCTCGTTAGCCGGCGAGGCATGGGTCAGTTCTTGCGAGGCGAGTTTGAGTCGTGTCGTGATTGATTCGATCTCGGCCTCGCTGGCGTCACACGCAGTCGCTTCGCGCAGTTTGGCCTCGAGCACGACAACCTTGGCCTCGGCCACCCCGATCTTGGCCTCGGCCACGTCAACCTTGGCCTCGGCCACGTCGGCATCCGTTGCGACTCCAGCATGCCGTGCGCCAATCACTGCCTCGTGCCTAGCCTCGGCCACCCCGACCTTGGCCTCGGCCACCCCGACCTTGGCCTCGGCCACGTCGGCATCCGTTGCGACTCCAGCATGCCGTGCGCCAATCACTGCCTCGTGCCTAGCCTCGGCCACCCCGACCTTGGCCTTGGCCACCCGGATCTCGGCCTCGGCCACACCGACCATAGCCTCGGCCTTGTCAACCCTGGTTTCGGCCTCGTCAACCTTGGCCTCGGCCTCGTCGACCTTGGCCTCGGCCACTCCGACCTTGGCCTCAGCTATGCGCACCTTGGCCTCGGCTATGCCCTCACTCATGCAGCTGTCGTACGCCGCCAGGGCAGAGTGGTAGTTCTTGTAGGCCGTTTCAACTCCCCTTCTTGCCCTGCATGCATCCTTCCGCGACCTGGCCGGTGAGTGTCTCCTCGCGGTGCTTCGCGCCAACTACGACCTTTTTCTGGACCCACTCACCCCTTGCCTTCCCCCATCCACCCCCATCCCACCCCCAACCACCCCCCCACCCAGCCACACGAGCACCTACATGTCTTGGAGAAAATTCACACTCATTGTTCAACCATGAACGAGAGAGGAGTGGTGTGAGAGAGAGAGTGTGTGTGTGTATGTGCCCGGGGGTCTCGCGAGCCGCCTGATCACCCGCCTGATCACCCGCCTGATCACCCGCCTGATCACCCGCCTGATCACCCGCCTGATCACCCGCCTGATCACCCGCCTGATCACCCGCCTGCTGCAAGAATTGCCACGCGACAAGGCTTGTCGCCTCGTGCCTCCATTGCCAGCCTTTTCTTGATCGAAGCGATGCCACGCTTCGAGTGATCGTGGGATCCGCTGGCTGGCTGCGTCGTCGAGCGAGATGACGACGACGAGTTGCTCGACAAAGGTGTCGGCGTCATGCGCCTCGCCGAGCACCACCCGTAGCGGGACCGAGCCTGCGTGCATTTGGCTGAGCGCGGAAATGATGGCGCCAAGCATTACGTTCATGCTAAACTGCGGCATAGTCAACGCCCGCTGCCATCCACCGTGAAACAGCCAACCATATATGACTACATGTAGTCGCTAGGGGGGCAGTGGTGGGCTGTTTCACACCGTCGTACTCGTTGACCACTACACCCGTCTGGATAAAAAAAAAATGAACTGGTACGTAACGGCGAACAAGGGGGGGGCCTGCATGCGGACATACTCCGGCTCGTGTGGACGTATGGGGCAGGATACTCACAATATTTCTTGACTACAACCTTATATGGTGCATGTACTTTATGTGGTGCGACCGTGGGATTTGGGAAGATACAGGACGCTTGTTGTGGCTATTGTTGTGGCTGCTGTGGTTCCGGCAGCTGTTGCTGCCGAGTGGCAGGTGGAGACGGTTTATTCGGGCGCTGGATGCACGGTGTCGGGCAACACGACTGCGCTGGGGATTACTGCTGCGTACACGAGCAACTGCGTGGGTGCCACTTGCTCTCAAATTGGAACTTCTGGTCGGTACTATCAGCGCGTGTGTACGGCGACTGAGCCGACGACGACGGGCTTTGACAACGTCATGCGGTTCTGGTCGTCGTCGCCGACCTGCGCAGGCAACCCAACGTCGATGATCGCCACCATGTCGACGTGTGCGTACAACAATGATGGAACGTCCAACTCGCTCGCTCTGGGCTCGTCAACGGTCTCGGCTATTGAGTGCACGGATGCTGCCTGCGGCACGTGCTCGGGTGCGGCAACCATCTACCCGCGCACCACTTGCGGCGCCGTGACGAACAGCGGCAACACGGTCGGCCATGGTTTTGCCAACGCGCAGCCTGGTAGCAGCGGCAGCACGTCTGCCGCTGCCTCGTCGGCGCCTCTTGCCGAAGCTATTGTGGTGGTTGCGACTGTGGGTGCCGCGATTGCTGCTCTTTTCTGAGACGGTTGACTTTCTCCGTCGTCTGTGGGTGGCCGCAGCCTTGAGCTGTTGAACACTTTACTTGTTGTACAATCTATAGCCCCCCCTCCCCCCTGCAGCCCATATCTGCCGATGCTGATGTTAGCTACTGGTCTACTCTTCTATCTGTGCAGTCAGCCAGGCCAACTCGATCTCCTTCCATCCGATCACAGCCATCCCCATTGCCGTGTGATCCGTCCCTGCCAAGACTCGCTGCTGCCTGCCCTCAATACGTCAGCTGGGCCACCACCACCACCACTGTCGTCGACTTGTGCTGAGAAATCACGGTTTTACCGGCCACGGACAGCCACCTTGTCGGCGATGGTGGCCACCTTGTCGGCGATGACGGCCACCTTGTCGGCGGGGGTGAGCACTTGACCCTCACGGCGAGAGTGTGTTTCTGCCCCCCTTGACCAGAAGCACCTCGACCATGCCCAAGAAGGTACGCAAACCCACCATGACCATATACGCCATTGTATAAGAATGAGTATGGGTAGGGGGAGAGGGGGGGGGAGGAGGAGGGGGCGACTAAGGCTATGGCTATGGCTATGGCTATGGTTGGGTGTGGTGGCTCGTGTCGCCAAGGACCTACCTCCCCTTGCCTCCGCCTGCCTCCCACCTATACCCATACCCATACCCATACCCATAGCCATACCCATAGCCATAGCTATTCCCATGCCCATACCCATGGTGAGAGTGAGTGTTAAGGTGTTTGGGATGGAGTGACCGGAATGGCGGACGAACGGGATGGACGAGCTGTAGGAGGGGACGGACAGACGCGCGCGAGTGGGGACGAAGAAGATGGACGGGCAGGCGGGCTGTGGGACAGGCAAACGGACGTATGGGCTGCAGGACGGACAGACGAAAAAAAATACCGGATGGGACTGATGGGGCGGGCGGACGGTGGGGACGGTTGTGATGGGTATGCACAGCCAGTGCTACGAGCACTGCTACGCTACTGCCCAGCCGCTGCCCAGCCACTGCTACGCCGAATCTGCTATGCCACTGCTACGAGCACTGCTCGGCAATCTGCCCATCCACTGCGTCGGTCCCCAAGTACTCCGTCCTCCTCTGCTCCTTTGATGTACTGCTGCTCAAATCTGAAGCCACTCTCCATCTACCCCCTCTCCCGTCCTCTGTTTCGCACTCTGATCGTCGAGGCGGACGACTGCGCTCACTCACCTCCCCCCCCCAACAGACCCGTGGGAAAAAGGCGTCCAAGTCGTCGGGCAAGAAGGGCAAAAAGTCGGCGGTCCAGGCCCGGAAGCGGAAGAAGCCGTCTGGGACCAAGGGTTCGCTCGCTGACAAGTTTGCTGCCCGCCTGAGCGGCCTCAACAAAGCCAAGGGCGCATCGTCTGGTGATGGCGAAAATGCCGCCCGCAACCCACGCAAGGGCCAGCGCGGCGGCAAGGGCACTACCGTCTTTGTTAAGCGCTCCAAGAACAACAACGGCTCAGCTTCGGGGTTCCACTTTGCCGGTGACGACGACGGCCACGATGAAGATGACAACGGCGATGACGGCAACAACGACGATGGCGGCGCGTCGACCGAAGAGTACCAGCGCAACAACGACGGTGACGATGACGACCCTACCAAGCGCGCTGTCTTTATCCCTGTTGTCCCTGATGAGAGCAACTACAAGGGCGCGCTTGTCCGCGCCGTGACCAAGTGCGGCAAGGTGGTCGACATCTTCCCCAAGTTTGGCAAGTCCAAAAAGTCGGCCATCATTGTTTTCGAGACCGCCGCTTCCGCCCGAGAGGCCATCGCCTCGGTCACTTCTATCGGCGGTGTACCCATTAAGGTCTCGCAGGCGCGCTCGGTGCCGTCGTTCGACTCTGCGTCGTCGTCCGCACCTCCCGCCGCGACCATGCTTCTCCCGACGATGACGACCGAGACGACGAAGTCGACGACACTTCCGCCACCGCCACCAACGACAGCGCCAGCCACTTTTTGCAGTCGACAATGACCCGCACCGCGTCCGCCTTCTCCGGCCTCTCCGGCGCGGGCTCGAGTGACACCGGCCCGTCGTCGTTCAAGCTGCGGGCTACTGCTCCGGCCTTTGTCCCGTCGGCACCATCGGCACTATCGGCTCCGTCGGCCCCGCCAGCGCCCGGCTCCAACCCGTTCGCCGTGGCACAGCCCAAGCCGACACCCACCTCTGGGCGCAGTCTGTTCGCGCCGCCCCAACGCAAGCATGTGGCGCGGAGCAGCCGAGAAGAGGCCCCGTTTGCGACGCAGCGGCCGTCTGCGGCAGCGTCTGCGGCGCTGCGGGCGACTCCACCGGCGGCCGTCGTCCCGGCGCCGTCTACGCTGGTCAAAATTCGCGACGATGACTCGCTGACCCAGGAGCGGGCGGCGGAGCGCGCAAAGCGGTTTGCTTCGGTCGGCGAGGCCGAAGCGCGGTACAAGAAGCTCAACGTCGAGGTTGTCCGCAAGCGCGAGGAGGCCAAGGCCGCGCTGGTCCACGGCACCGACGTCCGCGATGCCGCCGCCATTGTCGGCACCTGCCCGGACATGTGCCCAGAGCACGAGCGGCTGGAGCGGTACATTCGCAATGATCTGCTCTCGTTTGAGAAGATTCCCGGAACGAACACCATCGACCACTCGGCGGTGATGAAGAAGTTCCACCGGCCAGCAGCCGGCGACGCGCCCCCGCTCCCGGAAGAGGTCCGTCCGCACCCTGTTCTTCGTAGGACCATGGACTACGTCCTCGCTCAGGTCATCGACTCGACGGCGCGGTCGTTTGCTGAGGTCCATGCCTATGTCCGCGACCGGACCCGGTCAATCCGACAGGACTACAACTTTCAGGCCATCGCCTCGGTCGAGGCTGCCGAGGTGCTTGAGCAAATTGTGCGGTTCCACATTCTCTCGGAGCACCGGTGCTGCGAGGAGCCGATCGAGCTCTTCGACTCGCAGCAGAACATGGAGCAGTTCTCCAAGTGCATCACCGACCTCTTCCACATGTACCGTGTCCTCCGCTACCGCGGCGAGACACCGCCGAACGAGGCTGAGTTCCGCGCCTACGGCGTCCTCTCTCGCATTGACTCACCCGAGGCGCTGCTTGACCTGCTCACGCTCCCGGCCGAGCTGCTGGCCTCGCCAGACCTCGCCTTTGCGCTCGACGTGGTGCAGGCGTTCAAGACTGGCAACTACGCCAAGTTCTTTAACCTTGTCCGCTCGACGACGTACCTCAACGCGTGCCTCATCCACAAGTTCTTCAATCCGATGCGAAGCGTAGCACTGCGGACCATGAACCGGGCGTACCGATCGGTTGCCGGCCCAATTGCCGGTGCCAAGGTTGTCGATCCAATCCCAGTCGAGTACCTCGTGGGCGTTCTCGGCTTTGAGACCGAGACCGAGGCCATCGCCTTTCTGCAGCACCACGGCCTGGCGCCCGCCGAGGTGCCGGCGACTCAGGCGAACCAGACGAGCCGCGACTACCACGGCCAGGTGTGCGTTTTCTTTGGCACCGACTCGCTGGTCCACAACTCATCCAAGTTCCCAGTCTCGTGCTCGCACGTCCTCATCGAGTCCAAGCTCGACCCGTGCGCCACCAACGCGTTGGTTATCTCGGGCGTCCTGCCGCGGCACGGCGAGCCGCCGCTGGATCGGGCAATGCTTCAAAAACACGTCCGCCTCCTCTCCCGACGCGGCGCCGGAGAGGAGGATCAGGACGCGATCGCCGCCGCCCGTGCTGCCAATTCCGAGCGTCGAGCTGCTGCTGCTGCAGCTGCGCGAGAGGCGGATGCAGTCCGCCAAGAACAGGCTCGCGCAGCAGCCCTCGCGCTAGAGAACGAGCGCCGGGTGGCCCGCGCCAAGGCCGCAGCTGAGGCGGAGGCGAAGGCGGTGGAGGCCAAGGCGGTGGCGGCCAGAGCTAAGGCCGCAGCTGACGCTGAGGCCGCCAAAGCAGCGGCGGTGGCTGCTCGAGTGGCAGCAGCGGCGGAGGCCAAGCGCGTGGCCGAGGCAGCGGCGGCCGAGCGGGCGGCAGCGCAGGCAGCGGCAGCGCAGGCAGCAGCGAACAAAGCCGCAGCCGACAAGGCTGCCCGCGAAGCAACCGCTGCGGCCGCCGCCCGCGAGCGCGCGCTGGCAGCTGAGGCGGCGGCGTCGGCCGAGAAGCTACGGCGCGAGGCGGCAGCACTTGCGGCCGAAGAACAGCGACTGGCGTTGGCGCGCGAGGAGCGGCTGGCGGCGGAGGCGGCGGCGCGCGAGCTGGAGCGCGCACTGGTGGCTCAGCGCGAGGCGGCGGCGCGGCGGCAGGCTGCGCGCGAGGCGAACCTGATCCGCGCGCGGGAGCAGCGGATCACGCGCGGGCTGTTTACTCGCTGGCGATCGATGTATGAGACGTGCGCGCGGATCCGTAGCGAGCGCGCCGCACGGCGGGCCGAGCTCGAGGCGCGGTACCAGCAGTTCAAGGCGTCGTTCACCGGCGTACCGCTGAGCTCGGGCTTGTTCTCGGCTGGCGAGCACATGAGCATGCTGCTCGAAGTGCCGGGCGAGGGTGAGAGCGAGGGTAACGAAGCCACGCCGCCGGTAACGCCAGCCCGGACCGGCAAGGGAAAGAGCTTGGTGCGGAGCGGCACTTCGCTGCTCTCGCCCGCGGGCGCCGGTGGGGTGCGGCTGGCACGGAGCCAGCTCTCGGCCGGCTCGTCGTTCCGCGAGTGGGAGGCGGCGAGCGCGAGCCAGCAGGTGCTGATGGCGATGCGACTCCGCGCCGAGGAGGAGAGCCACGCGTTCTGGTGCGCCCTGGACGTGCCGAGCCTGGTGGCCAAGCCACTGTACGAGGCCTTTCTTGCGCATGTGGCGTCGGCGATGCCACCGTTTGAGGCTGGAGTCAAGCGGTCGCGAGCGGCGACGCCGCTGCTCGAGTCAGCCCAGGGCGAAGACGGCTGCCACGTTCGGGCTGGCTCGATGTCGGAGCACTGGCCGCTGCGCGGGACTGCGGGCGCGGCTAGTGCAGCCCCAGCGACGGTGACGCTTGGGTTCAAGGTGGTGGTGGCGGCGCGGTCGTCGCCACACGAGTCCGATATCTCGTCGTGGCTGGCGGGCAAGCTCGCCAAGTCTGCGTCGCTCCTTACCGACCAGCTTGACCAGCTCTCACCGAACTCGGCGACGCTGACGGCGCCGCTGACGGCGTACGGGGTGGCGGCCTCCGAGCTCGGGCGTGAGATCGAGTCGTTTGGCCAGGCCTTTCTGCCACAGCTGCAAGTGGCGGCGCGGGGGTATACGGAACGCTGGCTGGAGAGACGCATGAGACCAAGCGCGCGCTCGCCGAGGTGTTGCGCGGGACGACATGCCTTGTCTTTGTCCTCCACACCAGTGGCGACGGCGACGACGGGTCGTCGGACGAAGACGACGATGCCGAGGCGACCGAGACTGCCGAGCGCGAGCGGCTCCACGCGCTGGTGGCCGGACTCGCACCGCAGGCTGGTGCCGCTCTGCTTGTGTTGTACGCGTCTGACGCGGTGCAGGCCGAGTCGGGCGCGCGCGAGCTAGAGGTGCAGGCGGAGATGCGGCGGGTGGCACGGGTGCTCGAGCTCGGCTCACTGCCGCAGGCGCAAGTCGGGGCGTGGCGGATCCAGCCGTACAATGAGCTGCAGGCCGGCGACCCGAAGCAAGGTCAGTACTCGGTGTGCACGCTCCAGGCCGGGCTCAAGTGGGCGGCCGAGTACGGGCCTGCGGCACCGCCGCTGGCGCTGTTCTCGCTTGGCGAGCTCATCGATCACTACGTCTCTGTCCACGTCGACGAGGTGCTCTCGCGTCCTGCACTCACGCTTGAGCACGGCATCGGCATGTTCAACGGGGTGCTCGACGCGCTCGCCTCGCTCCTCACCGACGACCGGCTCGGGGCGTACGACTGGCCGGCGCCCGAGTACGCGCCCGACGCGGTGCCGCCTCTCGAGTGGAACGCACCTGGCGCGCTGGCGACGCTGGGAAGCGTACTGAGCGCGCTCAAGCTTCCGGATCTCGGCCGAGTTGGGACGGCGTACGTGCCATCAGACGGGTCAACGATGCAGGTCACCTCTGTGCATCTCGAGGGACTCGCGTACGCGCAGCCGGGCCTTGTCTCTGCGTTCCTCTCTGACTATGCAAGCGCGCTTGCGGCACGGGAGCACGAGTCACCGCTCCTCCCACTGGCGCTGGTGTCGATGCGGACAGCATTGCAGCACGCGCTGCGTGCGCACTTTCCGCAAGCACTCGGCGGCAGCGGCAGCGGGCGCTCGACGTTTGTGCCGTCTGTGGAGCTCGGCCCGCTGTGGGCCATGTTCATGCGGGCGGTGGTCGAGCACCGGCTGGAGCAGCTGCCGGCCGAGGTCCGTGCACTCCCGGTGTATCATACATACCTTCGACCGCCGCTCGGCCCACTGCCGAGCTCGCTGGTGGAGGCCCACGTCAAGGCCAACCGCGAGCCGGCGCGTACGCCGCGGCGGATACCGCCGACCGTGGTCGGGCCCGGGGTGCTCGGCAAGCGGTCTGCCGTGTTCGACGACGAGCTCGGCGACGTCGACGTTGCGCTGCAGCCGCGGACACCGATGCTACGGACAAACTCGGGTGTCTTTACGCTGTCTGCGGCTGGCAGTCCTGTAGCGACGCCACCGGCCTCAAAGCGACGCAAGCCGCTATCGGCGTCCAAGGCGCCGCGTGGCGCGCCGGGCACACCGCGGATGGCACGGTCGGCGCGCAAGCTGCGGGCGGCAACCGGCTCGCCGCAGCTCCGCACAGCCACCGGTTCGAGCTCGGGCTCGGGCTCGGACGAGGCCGACCTCTCTGTTGACGACCTGTTTGCCAAGTTTATGCGGCGGGCGCACAAGCAGCGGCGCAAGATGGCCGAGTCAGACCTGCTCCTGTGGTCGGTGAGCGAGTCGAAGCTCTCTGTGCCGAGCTGAGTGGAGCAGGCGCAGGCCTAGGCCAACGTCCAGGCGGATCCGACGACAATGGCAACGGTAAAGAACGAGGCCGCAAAATTGACTTGGTGGTTGTCGAGTATATCGGCGCCGGTGATGTGTACGAGCTCGGCGGACGGCGACTCGATGACAACTTTGCGCTCCGGGTCCCAGCCCGAGTACTGTAGGGTGGCACCGAGAAGCGAGTCGATGGTGGTGCCGAGGAGGCCGGAAGCAGCTCCCAGCAAGACCCATGTGGTTAGAGCGGTCCCGAGCGGCTCCGAGCCGAGCAATGCGAGCATGAGGGCGTGGGCGAGGCCAATAAAGGCGCCACCAGCCAGCCCGGCGACCGTGCCAACAAGCGTCACGCCTCCGTTTGTGCCGGGCGGAGCGAGCCGCCACGGCGCGGTGATGAGCCGCGGACGGGCGGTAGCCAGGATGCCCAGCTCCGATGACCAAGTATCTGCAGCGCAGGCGGCGTAGTGTGCCAAGGACGCGAGCAGAGCAAGATGATGATGTCTGTCGAGCAGAGCAGCGGCGATGAGAGCAAGAGAAGCAGTGAGCGAGTTTGCGAGAACTTGAACAGCCGATCTTGAAGACGATGTGGCATATTCTGCCTCGAGCACGGCCTTGCGCTTTGCGCCGTATCGTGTGAGCGCCGAGGAAGAAATAAAAAAGGCCACAAGATGCAGTGCAGGCAGAAGTCCGCCTGCTGCGCAAGTCGCCCATCCGGTGACGAACGCCGCCACGGCTCCTGACGCCGAGAGGGAGCCCTTTGTGTAGCCACGGGCTGTGAGGACCAGGGCGAATGCTATGCCCCATCGTTCTGTTGCGGGTACGATTACTTGTTGTTGGGATGATCGTTCAGTTGTGGGTACGATTACTTGTTGTTGGGGTGATCGTTCTGTTGTGGGTACGATTACTTGTTGTTGGGGTGATCGTTCTGTTGTGGGTACGATTACTTGTTGTTGGGGTGATCGTTCGTTTGAGGGTACAATCACTTGTTGCTGGGGTGATCGTTTGGTGGAGCTAACAATTACTTGTTGATGACATAATCGATGGTGAAGTAGAGTGGAGAGGGTGGTCCCCCGCCAATGACCGTTTGGCCGTCGTTTGGCCTCTCTCTCTGTTCAATAACGAATGTCGTTGGAAGCAAGTTCGCGGTTGGCAGGGCACTCCTCGCCGGTGGTAGCCACCAACATGTCTGGGTCGGAGGGACGGTACGACGAGTACGACGGATACGGACCTTATGCAGATGAAGGATATGGAGAATACGAACCATATGCAGAGTATGGTGATGGTGATGGTCGTGGTGGTGCTGGTGCTGGTGCTGGTGCTGGCGGTGGTCAACTCGGACAGCCGTACTCGGAGGAAGAGCTTGAGAGCAACGATAGAAGTCGGACGAGACAGTCAAAGACATCAAAGGCGTCAATGTCGCCGTCACGGTCTTCGCAGAGAGACTCGCCTTCAAGAGCTTCTCGGGCATCTAGTCGTTCCGACAAAAAATCTAATCGTCATCGCTCAAACGCTTCGCTGGCAAACGCTCGCTCTCGTGCATCCATCTCATCGGGCAGGAGGTCTCGCGGGAGAGCCGGCAGCTCACACTCACGCTCGCGCTCTCGTTCTCGCTCATGCTCTCGCTCTCGATCACGCCACACCCGCTCTTGCTCCCGATCACGGTCTCGCTCGCGGTCGCACTCTCGGTCTCGGTCTGATCGGTCGGGACGGTCGCGGCGGTCGCAGCCAAAGAAAAAGAGCCGGGCGAACGCGTTCCAGGGCTCGCCTGCTGTGCTGCCGCCGATTGCTGGGCGGCGGCGGGCTGGAGGGTCGGCCTCGTCGCGGACGCCGAGAGATGGTTACGCTGGCTCGTATAACAATGGCCAGGCGGTGGACGGACTTCCGCGGGCGGATCTATTCGAGGCGTGCCAGGCGCTCGACATCGAAGCGCTGCAGGTGATGCTTGACCACGGCGAAACCCGAATGTCAAGCTCGGCTCGGGAGTGACGCCGCTGCATGTAGCGGCCGGCTACGGGTTCGCCGACGGCGTCGCTGCGCTCATCGAGGCCGGGACGTCGGTCAACGAGATGGACTCGCTCGGCGGGACACCGCTCCACTGCGCCGTCCGATACAAACATGTCGCATGCGCCGAGGTCCTGCTCGAGGCCGGCGAGGCCGACTTTAACGCCGCTGATCGGGTCGGCTCGACTGTGGTCCATCTCGCTGCGCGGTACTACGATCCGGAGACGCTCAATCTGCTGCTGGACTACGGTGAGGAGCTCGAGTTGGACGCAACAGACAAGACTGGGGCCACCGCTCTGGTATGGGCGCTGCGGAGCGGGTCGCGGGCGGCGGCCGAGGAGCTCATTGCCGCTGGCGCCGACGTCAACCTCGCCGACTCGGACGACAAGTCCCCGTTGCATCTGGCGGCGGTCCTTGGCGCAAGCTCGGTCTGCTCGGCGCTGCTCGATGCCGGCGCGCAGGTCGACAACGCCGATGCCAAGGGCGCTACGCCGCTGTACTGGGCCGCGCGGCGTGGGCATCTCAACATTGTCGACATGCTGGTCAACGCCGGAGCCTCGCTTAACGAGCCCGACGAGGCCGGATGGACGCCGCTCCATTGGTCGGCCCGCTTTGGCCACACCCCGGTCGCGCATCGGCTCATCGACGCCGGCGCGGACAAGACTGCCGTGACCACCGGCGGCAAGACCATCGAGGACTGCGTCCCGCGGCAGAACACCCGCATGCTCTCGCTCATCACCGGCCGCTCCTTCTCCCGCTCCGCATACATGGCCCCGCTCTCCAAGCCTGACGACCACGCCCACGATCGTGGCGTTGACGAGCTCGACTACTCTGGCTACGACGCGTACGAGTACTCGGACGGCGCCGGCCAGGCCCGGCGAAGCCGCGGCCGCGGACCGGCGGCAGGCGGGAGCAAATCGTTTGTCACACAGGACCCGCCCTACGGCGACTACGCCTACGGCGACTATTCGTACTCGCAGTAGTAGCTGCCCGGCGCGCCATGTTGCGTGTCTCCTTTATAGTGGCATCGACGCGAGGACCTTGCGCGACCGCTCGCCGGTGATGCTGGCGGCGAGGAGCGGAAAGTAAACCCGGAGGTCACCATCGGACGGCAACAGCTGCATGAAGGTCGCCGGCGGGAGGATCCGGGCCATGTGCTCGAGAACATAGCGGGTGGCGACAGGCGGGTCAGCGCTGTCGCCCGCTGGCCCGGAAGAGGCATTGAGCGCGTCTAACAGCGCCCGCCAGGCCTCGGCGTCGCTGCCAAAGTGGAGGCGGGCGACCGCGAGCGGGACGACCGGGGCGGCGGCAGCGACAGTGGCGAGGGTCTTGACCAGAGTCTCGGTCCGCCCGAGTGCAGCGAGGCAGGCGAGCTCGAGGCTGCAGAGATGAAGCGGCGGGGAGGTCTGCGACGGCATCGCTGCTTGGATCTGGTCGAGGAGCAACTCGGCCGAGTGGAAGAGCGGCGAGGCGAGGAGTGACGAGAGCTTGGCCACGTACGGCCTGATCGGCTCCGGAGCTGGCATCAGCGCCAGCCACGGGTACGGCTCGCCAAATGGCGCGGCGTCGGCCAGCATGCTGAGCCAGGCCTCGGCGCGAGCTGCGTGGCTTGCCGGCAGCGAGGCGACGGCTGGGAGGCTCACCAGCTGAGGTCCGCCGCCGTCGACGGCCTCGGCATCCAGAATCCGGGCCAGGTACATGTGTGAGAGGCGGACAGCCAGCTCAGAGACGTCGGTCTCCAAGTTGGGGCACACGATGGCACGCTCGAGGAAGCATTCGACGAGCGGGAGGCGGGCCAAGCCCGAGGAGGCGGCCATGTGTGCGAGGAGCGCGGCCTGGGCCGGTCCGTCGAGAGCAGCGTCAGGGTCAAGGGTGGCAAGTGGGACGAGCGAGTTGGGTTTGGCCGCAACTCGGCGGCTGCCGCAGGCCGACTCGAGCAGGTCAAGGGCAACCGAGAACGGAAGGGTGGCCGAGTCGAGGGCCTGGGCCACAATGATGTCGAGGAAGACAAAGGGAGGGCGACGGCGAGGACTTCGGCAAACGACGGCAGCGCAGCCGGAAGTGCAGGATCAGAGCCTGGGCCGCCGCCAGCATCGTAGTCGTCGTCGTAGTCGGAAGAGCCGGTCCACCTGCCCTGGTCCGGCGGCACGTAGAGCATGCCCGGCGAGGCCGAGACGAATTTGGTCAGCAGCTCGGGCGGGGTGGCGAGGAGGGCCTCGACACTTGCTGAGAGCTTGCCAACGTCGAGCGCAAGGAGGGCGTAGGCGAGGGTGTCGTACGGGCTTCTTGTCTCGAGCTCGGCAAGGCCGGTGAGGACCGGCTCTTGCGGGTAGTCCTGGAGGCAAGAGTAGAGGGCGAGGCGGGCGAGCGAGGTCGGGGCGTGGCGGGCGTAGAGAGCGACAATGGCGGCGGCGGCGTCAGCATTGGCGTCAACGCGCGGCAGGAGCACAGGCGCAAAGAGCATGCGGTCGAGGTAGTAGATCTTGGCTTCACCGGGCGCACGGGCGAGGAGGGCGAGGCCGCGGGTGAGCGGAATGTCCGACTGCCACAGAAAGTGTGCGGCTGAGGCCGGCGCCGCCGCGTTCATCTGAAAGGCGGCAAGGAGCGCCGCGGTCTTGTGCAGCAGCGCGGTGCAGTTGGCGGCCTCGAGGGTGTGTGTGACACTCTCAGCGAGGTCGACTTCGGGTGCACCGAGCAGACCGATGGCCTCGCGAGCCTCGTGGGCGAGCTTGGCGAGGCGGGTCTGCAGGAGGAGGTAGGCTTCGAGAAGCAGGAGAAAGTAGGTGCCTGGATCAGGCTCGTTGGCCATGGCTGCGCGCGCTGAGATGTCGTTGACGAGGCTACCGAGCGGCGCCGAGTGCAGGATGTAGATGTTCCAGGCCTCGGCCGGAAGGCGGGTCATTCCACGGCACGCCGTCGGTGGGTACGCTGTCTCGTCCTCGTACATCTTGGAGAGGACGACGAGGGCGTCGCCCGCGAGCGCAAACGAGCGGACGCCCATAAAGACCTGCATGCCAAGGACCGCCGGCGGCGGGTAGCTTGCGCCAAAGCCACCATCGAGCCCGCGGAGCGACCAGGTTTCCATGCCGGTGGCGGTAGCGACGTAGACAAGCGAGTCCGAGGCAAGGACGGCGCTCGCTGGCGAAGTAAAGGCATAGTCACAGAGCTTGGTAACCGACTCGCCCGAGGCACCAACAGCGAGCAGCATGCCGGTCCGCTCGCCAGCGACGAGGACGCGGCAGGCCGACCGAGCCGCGGACTGGGAGATCGGGGCCTGAAACTCGCTCAGCGGGTCGTCGTTGGCGGCGACGAGTTCGACGCTCCCGCCGGCATGCTCAGGCAGAACCTGGAGCGAGTGGATGCCCCAGCTCGTGTCGCTGCGGATATGAGCCACGAGCGTGCATTGTGTAAGCTGGTAGCCGTCGGCGGCGTTGACGTGAAAGGCGTGGAGGGGGCGGAGGCGGTGAGCTCGCAGACTGCGGCGGCCGAGGGGTGGGCGGCGCGGTGGGCTGCCGAGGCAGAGACCGGCTTGCCGCTGGCTCGCTCGGCAGGCAAGCCAGGGACGAGGAGCATGTCTGCATGCGACGACGGCTTGCCACTGGTGCCGTCAAAGCGAAAGGTGGCTGCGGCGTCGGTGCCGATGAGCGCCGAGCTGGAGAGCATGTCCACGTCGGTGCCAAAGGCAGCAAGCGGCTGGCCAAACTGGGAGCGGCGTGGGCGCAAAGGGACTGCCGAGCCCGAAGTGGCGCCTGGCCCACGTGGCGCTGTCCGCTCGAACCACAGCCGATAGACAAAGAGCTCCGATGCGGTGGCAAAGGCGAGGACGCCGGCGCGGAGCGCCACTGCCACCGGCGGGTTCGAACTCGATCCATCCGGCAGCTCGACCGAAGCCATGAGCGTCGGCTCGCCGATGCTCGGGTCGACGTTCCACACGCTGATGGCCTTTGCCGAAGCCACCGCTAGGTGCGGTAGCTCGGAGCAGACAGCGATGGCCACCGGCGGATGCTCCTCACTAGCGGGCAGAGTGTAGGTGACAAGTCCAGCCGGAAGCGGATGATTGTCTGGCACCGCCACATCTGGCGAGGCGAGAGCTAGACGAGCAGCAGCTCGCGCAGCATCGTCATCATCGAGACCATGACCAGAGCGGGGAGGCGATTGACCCAGCGCAGCCGCCGGCAGCAAACTAGGAGAAACAGCAGCAGCAGCAGCAGCAGGAGGAGCAATAGCACCAGAGCTAGAAGCAGGACCAGCGGTGGTAGCATGAGATGACGAGGAGGAGGACGATGGACGAAGAACAGCATCAGAATCTGGGAGAATGCGCCAGTTGGCGTAGATGCGAACAGCTTGCGATTGCGAGAGCGATTGAGAGGTATTTTCCAAAGTCACTACCACATCAGCTTGTGGCACATACGCCATCTTCCAAATACTTGAAGATGTAGCTGCAAAGGAAGAGAGTATGCGAGCAGATGATGTGCTACCTCCTGGCGCGTAGAGTGAGACCAGTCCCGTGCTGGACGCCACCAGGAAGCATGACTTGCAAGAGCTGACAGCCACAGGTTCGGTAGCTGGGCCGAACACTTGCTCCGCTTCGAACAGGGGGAACAGGAGCACCTTCGTCGTCATCGTGGTGGTGGTGGGATGGGGAGGGGGTGGTAGCAGTGGTGGTGGTGGTGGTGGGGGTGGGGGGGGGGGGGGGGGGTGGGGGGGGAGGGGTGGTGAGGGGTTTGATCGTGATCGTGATCGTGATCGCGATCGCGTTCGCGGACGTGATGCTGGTCGTGATCGTGATCGTGATCGTGATCGTGATCGTGATCGTGATCGTGGTGGCCGGGCTGGATGATGGCAGGTGGAAGAGTAATGGAGCGAGGAGAGAAGAGCGGGGGAAGTTGTTGCGTGGGTGTGATGGTGAGCGCGGGTGTGATGGTGAGACTGATGGTGCCCAGAATGGTGTCCGGTGGGACCACCGTCAGGCACAATGAAGTCGTTTTGGCTCTCATCAAGGCCAGGCGAGTGTTGGACTGGTGGGTACCCTGTGGGTGCCTGTATTCTGCATATCAGCTCGCTTCCTTTGCGCCAGCGAGGGCTGAGCGACGGCAGGCAGACGACGATGCGGGAAGGTTTACGACTCTGAAAGACGGCCATGCGAGGGGGAAAACCACATGGACACGACGGTTGGACAGGGTCATAGCAGCCAGCCTATGAGTGGTAGGAGGAGAGCCTCACGCTTAGAAGCGCGAGTTGAAGGGCGACGACTCGGCGTGAACCTCGGCGGTGTTGCAGTACTTGGGCGGGATCCAGATGTTGATGTTGGGGATGCCGATGACGATGTTGGAGAAAGTCTGGTGGATGAAGTTACCGTCACCCATGGCGACGTCCTCAAAGACCGGGATGCAGCCGTCAGCGGTGACGCCACCCATCCAGCGGATGAGGCCACCACGCGGGTCGGCAAACTGGCCGGACCAAACCTGGACATCGAGGGCAAGGCCGAGGGTGAGCTCGGTGTCAAAGGTAGCGTTCGAGGGGAGGGCGAAGGGGCGGAAGGTGCCCGAGGGAATGTGGACAGCCTTGCAAGTCTTGTCATCAAGGTTGATCTCGTAGCCGACGTTGTCCTGGTAGAGGGCGAGGAACTGGAAGTCGTAGTGCTTGCCGTTGGCGTAGACACGCTCGTACGTGTTGGTCCGCTGGTGGAGCGAGTCGTACGAGATCTGGGCAATAGCCGCAGCATGCTTCTCCGGGTCCACAACGAAGATGTCACCCTGCCACTCGAACGGAGTGGCTGTTGTATACACGACGTAATTGCTTGGGCATGAGTATGGTAGCGAGAGAAAGAAGAAGAGGGAGAAGAAGGGCGGGCGCGGGCGGCACTTGATCGTGTTCGTGATCACGTGACTTTTCACCGAATCCAGAAAAAGGTCGCATGAGCCAGCAGGCAGGCAGGTCGGTTTTGGGCAGCGGAAGCGACATGCGCGGGGGGAAGGGGGAGGGAGGAGGGAGCGGAGACGACAGAGAGGACAGCGACTGGGAACGTACAGCACGGCTGGGGAGTCTGTGCCGAGACGGCAATGGCGAGCAGCGCAAGAACAGCAATCAGCTTGAACATGTTGAATATTAGAGTTGACTGTGGCTATGGCTATTGTGTTGGCGGAGGCTGTGGTGGCTGGCGAGAGAACCTGCCTTACCTGCGTGCGGCGACATGTCGGGGGAAAGACGCTGGGAATTCCGAGAGAAAAAACGAAAGAAAATGGTTCTTGGGATGATGATGGGGAGATCGGGCTGGAGTATTGGTGGTGATGTGTGGGAGAGCGGAGGGAGGGTGGCGGGCAGATCGGTGATACAGGCCAGAAGCTATGCCAGCTGGCCTCCCGAACTTTGCTCATCTCGCCCGATCTCGCCCGATCTCGCCCGATCTCGCCCGATCTCGCCCGATCTCGCCCGATCTCGCCGGATGGTGATGGCGATTATCCATTGTCTCTATCCTGGCGATGGTGTACAGTGGTGGTGTGTGCACGTGTGTGTGTGTGGTGGGGGGTGGGGGGGGGGGGCGGGACAGATCGGTGTCCTCCACCGTCCGCAGGCAGAGACTCACGACTCACTGACTCATCGCCGACACTTGTCGACCTCTGCGCCAGCCACTCAACTCTCAAGCCCACCAGGCCAATAGCCATGTCGTGTGCTTGTGGTATTGCCACGAAAGACCTCTCCAAAAACTCGTACGTCTCGAAAATGAGCGTGAGTGCGTGCTTGAGCAAGAGAGGGAGGGGCGGGCGAGTTGAGCGAGGTTGAGCGCGCGAGTTGGGCAAGTTTGAAGAGTGTGGTGAGAGCCAAAAAATAGCTATATAATCAATTGCCGGTGCTGGTTACTGTCGGAGAAGATGGTGGAAGTGATAGACAGTGTGGCTCGGGCGAGTGATGCTCGATATGGGAGTGATCATGCTCTTGGCGAGGCTCGGTGCGACGCATCTCGGGGTGGCGCAGATCGGCGCGCGACGATCGACGATGAGTGTTTGGGCGTGCATGGGGGAACAATGCGAACTCATCAGATGGGAGAGGTGCTTGTATGTAGGCTTGTGTGCGGAGGATGTGGAAATGTTGCTTCGGCGACTTACGGTCGGATCGAGGACGCCGAGACCGATGCAAGGACGATGAACGATCGCTTGTTGCGGTGCAAGGTGTGCAAAGAGGTGGCGTGGCGCGGGATGGAGAATGCAAACGTGGAGAAGATGAAGGTCAACCTCGCTTCTGGCTCTGTTGCACCCGCTGGCGCGGTGCCCAAATCTACAGTTGTGGTCGACTCGGCGCCTGAACCTGCGCAGCCGGAGCCATCTCTTGCGGACCTGGCGGCAGACTGGTGAAACCACGTGGTGCGGGTCGGACGACGAGCTCGATATCCAGACAAGTACTGCGACTACATCGAGGTTACCAGATCTGGCTGGGGACCAGAAGGCTCGATGCTACCACTCTGATCGGATCATGTGTTTGTGGCACTGGCCTTGCCGTCGTTGGAGATCACCATCCATCCACAACGCCCATGGGACCGCAGCTGTCATCCACCACCGGCAAGACAAGCGGCAGATGCATCTTATCTTCCCTCGTCATGTCATCGGGCTCGAAGTGTGCGGGTGATGCTCCCCCCCCCCCCACCTCCTCCACCTCCTCCACCTCCCCACCTCCCTCTCAACCCCGATGAATTCGCCATTGTCTCTATCCCCGCCCCGCGATTCCCTCCAATCATCCGCCCACGCGCCCGCGCGCTCTTCTCGCACAAGCGGCATTCGAAGACAGCGACTTTCCCCTTGTTCGCCACGTTGAGCAGAGACAGCGAGAACGACAAGCACAAGCACCAGCACAGACCCAGACACACGCCACTCCACTCCACTCCACTACATCCCAGAAGATGACCATGCAACTTGCGTCCGACGACCAAGTGGCAGCCATGCTGAGTGACAGGCCGAGTACTGGCGGTGGGGGCGGTGGTGGCGGTGGTGGCGGTGGCGGCGGTGGCGGTCATGGAGGAGTCGGCGGAGAAGGACGAGATGAAGGATGGGCAGAGTGGGAACTGCATCGTGAACTGCAACCGGATTCTTTGAACGAACCTGTAATGACGACTCTGGCTAGGGATTTGAAGCGGATTGGGGCAAAGTTGTTGAGAGTCATGGTACCCATCACATCGCTCTTCTCCTCCTCCTCCTCATCATCATCGTACTCTATGGTCGGCGGCGGTGGTGGTGGTACGACAGGTGCTAATGTCTTGCTTAAGGATTGGGATCTGTGGGGTCCGCTGCTCCTGTGCTTGGTACTCTCCGTCGTCTTGTCGGCTTCAGCTCCTTCTGATCAGTCAGCTCTGGTCTTTGCGCTTGTCTTTGCTCTGGTTTGGGTTGGTGCTCTGGTGGTCACGCTCAATGCGCAACTGCTGGGGGGAGAGCTCTCAGTTCTGCAGTCGGTGTGTGTACTTGGATATTGTATCTTCCCCATGCTCATTGCTGCTCTCCTCACCTCGATCTGGTCTCATCTTGCCTGGCGCATCGGCATTGTCCTCGCCTGCTGGTTCTGGGCCACCTTTGCCTCACGCGCCTTTCTTGTCGACTCGGTTCCCTCGAACAAGCGTCTTCTCGCCATCTACCCCATCGCCCTCTTCTACCTCACCATTGGCTGGATGGTGCTTGTCCAGTAGCTCCCCCCCCCACTCAACCTCCCGCCGCAGTCCGATGTCGCAGGCGCGCCAACCCAGGCTCCGATGCAGCGCCACGATGCATTCCCGAAAAGAAAGCACAGCACTTGCACTCTTCACCAACCTTTCTCTGCACCTCTGATCAAGGCAGCGGCCAAGTCTACAGACAGAGGCAGGTGGGAGCAAAGGTACTGTCTGGCCGTGTGAGTTGCAACTCTACCGCGGCAGCCTTGGTAGTTGGTGTTCAGCCGAGAGCACGCACATCTCTCGGAAGATCGAGTGACAAGATGAATCGACTCCGTTCTGCGGCTGGCAAGACGTACAAGGGAGTTGACTCTGTCGTCTCTGCTGGAGCTAATGAAGTTGTCGGTGTCATGCAAGTCGGTGTCGACAATGTGCTGGACAGGACGCTCGACTACGCTGGCAAGGTCGTTGCTGACTCCATCAAGGTACCTCTATCCCGCATCACTCTCTTGCACGTTATCCCCATTTGTACACCTTCATTTTCTCACCACAACTCAAACTATCTCTTGACTACCTACTATGCTGATTTGATTGCTGTAATGCCTATATTCTGCTTGTTATGGCCTCATGTGTGGGCGGCTACGACGTTGGCGCGGAATGGTACGGAACGATTCGAACCGATTTCAATGAATCAATCAATGGATCAATGTGTAAATGGCCATCGGCTCTCGTCGATGACTCGTTGTTCCGTCGCGACGCGCCAATGGCCTCGTCTTCTGCCACGACACGCCAATGGTACGATACGCTAATGCCCACGATCATGCTGCCTTTTCCTCTGCCAACGACGTGACAACGACTACAATCACCATCATGATTATCACTATTTCGCCGACGGCAACGACTGCAACTATGATCCCCCCCCCCCCCTCACCCCGACAACGAAATCCGGCTGATGCAGGACCCCGAGATGCCCAAATGGGTCCAGCGCGGTGTCGACGACATGGTCGGAGAGATCTGGCCCGACGTCAAGGAAGAGTCCAAGTCCAAGGTCCTGTCGGGCGTCCACAAGAAGGTGCCTGTGGTGGAGGGCTCGCCGCCGTCGTGGTGCCCGAACCCGTACCGCCCGATCCGAGCCTTCTTCCTCTACCACATGTTCCCGTCGGACAAGACCATGTGGGGCTCGTTCAAGGACCCGATCTGGTGGTTCTTCTCGCTCTTGGCGCTGGTCCCGGTCTTTGGCATTTCGCAGATCCTGTACATTATTGTCTTCCTCGTCATCGATTGGGGTGACGAGTACCAGCTCGTCCACTTTATCCTCTCGTTCAAGGGCCTACAGTTTGTGACGACCGGCTTCCTCCCTGCGCTCATCTCCGCTGTCCAGTTCTACGTCTGCACCGCACACACCGGGCGGTGCGACCGCGACGGCCCTGGTGAGCCGCTCTGGACGTACGGCCTCTTCCTCGGCCAGATCCTCATTGTGTGGCTCGCCTTTGTCCTCCTTCCGTACTCGGTCAAGAAGGGCGCCCGCTCGCTCATTGTCCGCGGTCGGGCCATGCGCAAGTTTGACTACGATGACGACGGCGTGCTCTCACCTGATGAGGCCCGTGCCTACCTCCGACGCCGCGACACGCAAAGGCCAAGGCCAAGGCCAAGGCCAAGGCCGCCAAGCGCAAGGCCAAGAACTCGGACTCGAGCGACGGCGACGAGTCGTTTGACGAGCACGCCATCGGCTCGCCGGGCTCGCCCTGCTGCTGCTGCACCTGGTACGCGGGCCGCGGTGGCCGGCTCCGTGCCTTTCTCTACTACGACATGGTTGTCCTCCTCATCGCTCTCATCCTGGTCGCCATCCCGCTCTACTTTGGTCCGACGCCGGTGACCGACGCGGATGCCGATGGCGACGGCGGCAAGGACGGCCCGGTGGAGGACACGTGGAAGTTCCGCGCCTCGATCCACTTTGTCAAGGTCTTTTACGGTGTCTTCTCGCTCCCCTTTGTCTTTTTCAACCTCCCGTTTATGGGCAAGTTCCTTACCCACGCCCAGCCGACGGCGTATAACCGCCACGGTACCACTGTGCCGTACGTCAAGCCCAAGAAGATCGCCGACTCGGAGGACAACTCGTCGTACTCGGACGACGCCCGAACCCGGGCACCGCCGCTCACGTCGAAATGGCCCGCCTCCGCGCCATCTCACGCCGCTTCCGCGGCTCGTCCAACTCGGAGTCGATCGACGTCGACGCAAAGGCTGAAGAGCTTGCCCGCAAGGAGAAGGCTGCTGCCAAGGCCAAGGCCAAAGCCAAGGCTGCTGCCGCTTCCGCCTCCTCCCGCCGCTCCAAGTTCAAGACGCGGTTCTTTGGTTCGTCCGACGACGAGGACTCGGACGATGACTACACCTATGACGTCGTCTCTTCGTCTGATGACAACCGCGACGCATCCGACGACGAGGCGTACTCCTCGTAGACTTCACCATGCCTCCTCTTACTAAACCATCTCATCACTCTCACCGTGCGGTTGGTGAGCTTCGAGTTTACTCGCGCTTCTTCTTGGAACCGCGGCGGAGACCAGTGCGGCGGGCAGCCATGAGACCGGTCTTCTGGCCGGGCGGTGCGTCGCGGGCCTTGGTCGACGGCTTACCGATGTGCTGGTGGTTACCACCACCGAAGGGATGATCAACCGGGTTCATGGCAACACCACGAGTGCGCGGCCAGCAGTTGCGCTTGACCTTGTACTTGTGGTAGGCACGGCCAGCCTTGAGGAGCGGCTTGTCGGTACGACCACCACCGGCAACAATGCCGACCATAGCACGGGCGGTCGACGGGATGACCTTCTTGGAGCCCGACGGGAGGCGGATGCGGGTGACCTTGTCGTCGCGGTTGTGCGAGATGATGGTGGCGTAGTTGCCAGACGTCCGGGCAAAGGTACCACGGTCGCCCTTCTTGGCCTCAACGTTGCACACAATGGTACCCTCAGGCAGCTCCGACAGCGGGATGACGTTACCGACAGACAGCTGCGCCGACTTACCGCAGTACACAAACTGGCCAGTGTACATACCCTCGGCAGCGATAAACGTCTCCGTGTTAAGGCGGTACTTGTACGGGTCGCGGAACTGGACACGGGCAAGCGGGGCACCACGTCCAGGGTCGTGGATGATCTCCTTCACGATACCTACACAACCGACCATTCCATTCTGCTGTAAGTCACAATCATTCCCCATACCATGCCCCAACATGCTCGTCACGCAGAGCGCACACAAACACAAAATTGGCCATCAATCGGAGGCGGCACTGGCGACACCGCCAGACCGCCACTCCTTCCTCCACCCCAACCATAGCCAATGCAGACCACAATGCCAAGTCCTTGCAAAAGCATGTACAACACCGCATACACTACGTGGTAGGCCCGTTGGTCATGCTCACAAGTGGCTTGGGCAGGGATGGGAGCAGGTGGTGCCGCAGGCGTGGGCAAACAAGGCAAAGTGTCTGATTTTGCTCGCATCGTCGACGCAAGCTCGCCCTTGACCTCACCACCCATACACACTACGTACCCTTGAGGTAACCGTTCTTCTCGGCGTAGTCGAGCGTGCGGAACTTGGCAGCACCCTTGCGGCGCTTGACATGCGACCGGAAGACAGACCCGGCTCCCTTACGCTGCTGGCGGATGACACGGCCCATGGTGAATGAGAGAAAGCTGGTGACGTCTGTCGTCAATCCCAAAGTGAAAAACAAACTCCGACCAAATCAACCACGCGAGCTCGTTTGCTCCGCCTCGTTCACACGAGCTGAGCTCTCGCCTCTCGCACTCGCCTCCTCCTCGCACGAGCCCATCCGTAGCCCATCACAGATCCATCAGTAGATGAATCCGTATGCAAGTGCATGGATCTTTCTCTCGGCCAATGTTCTTATGTATCAAGCTTGTGTTACTTTAGATAGCTGTACCATACCCCCCCGTCGGCTTGCACGGAGGCCGATTCGCGCGAGCTGGTTTGCTCCCGCTTCCACTCGCACTCCTCCTGCCCACCGTCACACCATCGATTAACTGACGTTCATTTATTCGTTCGCACCTGGCCTTCCCATCTTTTGTTCGATTGTGTCGTTTCGATGGTTCATTCGTTCGTTGATTGACTCGGCTGATCGTCCATTCGTTCGATTGTTCGCTCGTTGCTTGCCCGCCACCGACTCGCTCGCCATCTCATCCTCATCAATCAACACTTTACCCATTCACACAATGGTACGAACCCCCACCCCCCCCCCCACACCAGCCCTACCAACAACACCACAAGCACAAGCACTTCCCCACCCGTGTCATCTCCACCACTAGCACAAGCCCACCACTTCCCCCCCAAATCCGTATCCTCCATCCTCTTCCCCCCCCTCCCCGCCCCCGCCAACCAAGTCCGCCATGGCTTGCGCCCTTTTCCGCCGCCGTCTTTGTCTGATTTTTTTGAAGCGACCGTCAAATCTTCACCATCCCCTTCCATCCCCTCCCCTCCCCGCCACCCCGCCACCCCCCCGCCACCCCGCCCGTGCCTCACGCTCTCCCTCCCCCCTTCCCTCCCCCGCTCTGTGTATGATTGTAGTCGACTCGTGCTGTCGTTCAGGTCTTTGCCGCCAACAAGGCTTCGGAGGTTGTGGCCAACGTGCCGCTCCCGGGTGTCTTCACCGCCCCCATCCGCCCTGACGTTGTCCACCACGTCTACCGCGACATGGCCAAGAACCGCCGCCAGGCTTACGCCGTTCACTCGGCTGCCGGTCACCAGGTTGCCGCCATCTCGTGGGGCACTGGCCGCGCTGTCTCGCGTATCCCGCGTGTCAACGGTGGTGGTACCCACCGTGCCGGCCAGGGTGCCTTCGGTAACATGTGCCGTGGCGGTCGGATGTTCGCCCCGACCAAGACCTGGCGCAAGTGGCACCGCAAGATCAACCTCAACCAGCGCCGCTTTGCCCTGGTGTCGGCCATCGCTGCCTCGGCGGTCGCCCCGCTGGTCATGGCCCGTGGTCACCGCGTCGAGAAGGTCGCCGAGATCCCGCTCGTCCTCTCCAACGACGTCGAGTCGGTGAAGAAGACCAAGGAGGCTGCTGCCATCCTCGCCGCCCACGGCGCCCACGCTGACGTCGACCGCGTCATCGCCTCGCGCCGCCTTCGTGCCGGCAAGGGTAAGATGCGGAACCGCCGCTACGTCCAGCGCCGCGGCCCGCTTGTCATCTACCTCAACGACAACGGTGTCTCGCGCGCCTTCCGCAACCTGCCGGGTGTCGAGACCTGCTCCGTCGAGCGCCTCAACCTCCTCCAGCTTGCCCCGGGTGGCCACATCGGCCGCTTCGTCATCTGGTCGCAGGCTGCCTTTGAGCACCTCGAGGCCCTCTACGGCTCGCAGACTGCCCCGTCGACCCTCAAGAACAACTACCACCTGCCGCGCGCCATCCTCAGCTCGACCGACATCTCGCGTATCATCAACTCCGAGGAGATCCAGTCGGTTGTCCGCCCGGCCAAGCAGGGTGTCAAGCTCAACATCCACCGCCGCAAGAACCCGCTTGTCAACAACACCCAGATGTACGCCCTCAACCCGTACGTCATCGCCCGCAAGCGCGCGATCATCAAGGCTGCCGAGGCCCAGAAGGCCGGCCGCAAGGTCTCGCAGAAGAAGAAGCGCTTCGCCACCCAGGAGAAGGCCCAGGCCGCTGCCCGGGCCAAGCGTGCCTTCTACCGCCAGATGGTCGGCTACCGCGCCTAAGCAGTAAATGAGTTTTTTTGCTCGCTCGCCACGCCTCGCGCGTGCCCGTCACTTGTTTGCTTTCCTCTCTTCCTGCCCCAACACCATCACACTGCCGTCCTCGCCGTCAACCACCAGCTCGTCGCCGGTCTGCACCACGCTTGTTGCCCCGCGAATGCCCGACACGGCCGGGAGTCCAAACTCGCGCGCCACCACTGCGCCGTGCGACAGCATTCCGCCGTCCTCGAGCACAAGGCCGCCGATGAGGCCAAAGAGCGGCGTCCACGCCGGCGACGTCGTCGCCGTCACCAGTATATCACCGCCTTGGACGCTCCCAGCCTCGGCCAGCGAGCTGATCACCCGCGCCCGCCCGCGCACGGGTACCCCGCTTCGCCCTGGCGAGATCGGCAGCCCACGCAGGACCATTCCGTGCGCACGGAGCTCCGCCAGCTCTGCCTCGCTGATGCCGAGCTCAACGTTGCTGGCCCCGTCGCCGGCACGCTGCGCCTGGAACGTCCGTCCGACCTGGTACGGCGCCTCCAGGTGCGACCACACCGCGCTTGTGTACCCGATGTCCTCCACCACCTTGCGCAGTGCTTCTCCGCCGCTATCGCGCCCGGCCGCGTACGCTGCGTACGCTTCGGGCGTCACATGCGCCATGCTGTGGTCCGCCCGCCCCTCCTCGAGCACGTCGCGAGCAACCAGCTCGGCCTCGATGGCGAGAAGCGTCATCTTCAGCTCAAATCCGGCCCGAACATACACCACATGAACTCGCTCCTTCCATTCGAGGTACTTGCGGAGCCGCGCCACCGCCACCAGTGCCTCGTGCTGGTCGTTCCCGAGCACGGCCTTAAGCCGCTCGATCTCAGTCGCGTAAATCTGCGACGCTGTCGTCATTCGCCGCAGCAACGGCGGTTGTCCGCTGCTTTCGTCATTTGACGATGACGACGATGACGACGACGACGACCCTCGGTCGCCTCCGGCCTTGACCATCTGCACGAACATGGCGAGCGGAAATGACGGATCCTCCGACCAGTGCACGCACCACGAGTCCCAGTCCTCGTCTGCCATCCAGTACCAGGTCCGGAGAAAGCTCTCGAGTGCACCGGCGATCTCTGTCCCCGCAGCCTCGACCCGCAGCATTCTCACCAGGCCCGGGCCGACGATGCCACCCGAACTCGCTGCCGCTGCATCAAGCACCACTCGCCGCACCTCGCTGTCGCGGCTCACGCTCCGCGCGAGCGCCATCAGGTCTAGCATCGGCTGCTTGGCGGTGGCGTGGTGTCGCCGAGACACGTTGGAGACCAGTTTGCCGAGCACAAACCGCGGCGTGCTCTCGGTAATGTCGCCCGACCCGTGCGCCGTCGACAGCGCCCGCTGAGCCTCCGTCTCGGCCAGCTCGGCCATAAAGCCCATCGCCCACGACATCTTGCATGCTGCCGAGTAAAAGGCCATCAGCTGCGCCACACGATCCGGGGACGTATCGACTGCCGTGTCCGCTGCTGCCAGGCCGTGCTTTGCGAGCGCGGCGTCGACCACAGATCGCTGGTGGAGCTCAAGCAGAAACCGGTCTTCCAGCGCCTGCGCTTCGCGCCACCACGGCTCGAGCGCCGCGAGATCGGCTTGCGTGTACTGCTCCTTCAGCCCGTGGTAGACGGCCATGACGTCGGCAAACCCGTAGCCACGTCCAAAGTAAAACGTGACTAGTTGAGCTGGTTGAGGGAGGACAAACTCGGGATCGCCGTCAAACCACGTCGTTACCGATGCGATGTGATGCAGCGCGTCGCCAAAGCCGCGGACCGCAAGTAGCTCGTCAAGCGGCGACGTGCGGTCGGCCTGGATCATGTACGCCACAGGCGTTCCGCGCGCAAAGCTGAGCGAGGTGATTGGCCGTGCCTGGACCAGCGCCACTCGACCGTCGCCCGTGGCGCACCACTCGATGTCGGCCGGCCCCATCGCCCGTGACACCGCCTGCCCGGCTGCCGCCAGAGCAGCAAGCAGCTCTGGCGTGAGCGGCGAGCAGGCGGCCTCGGTGGCAGTCGTTGCCGTCCACTCGTGCCCACCCCCTGCTGCACACACCAGCTTGCGCTCCTGCTGGCCTTCTGGGTTCCGGTCGAGCACCATCTCACCGCTTGCGGCGTCGATTACCACTGATGACGGCGTCAGCGTTCCGGACACGAGCCCCTCGCCAAGTCCCCACACGCCCTCGACCACCATCTCGTTGGCACTTGAGGTTCCCGGATTGACGGTAAACAGCACGCCCGCGGCTACCGGGTCGACTTGCTCCTGCATGACAACAGCCATCGCCGGCAGCGGCTCGTCGTCGGCGAGCGAGCCGAGGTAGCTCGCTGCGTGATCCGAAAATTGCGAGGCGTAGCAAGCAAGCACTGCATCAGCTAATGCGCCTCGCTCAGCGGGAACATTGAGCACAGTCTCGTACTGCCCCGCAAACGACTGGTCCACAGCATCCTCCTTGGTTCCCGACGATCTCACGGCAAAGAACCGATCATGGCGCAAGCTACCTTCCTCAGCCGCCCAGCGAGCACGAACCACATCCAGACACTCATCAATAGCATGCCAAAGAGATGGGGCTAAACCAGAGGCAGTCATGGCATTACTGATGTCATTCAGCGAGCCGTTCGATGTGTACGCCTCCCGGAGTCTGGCAGGTGTCAGCGATAAAAATCCAGTTGTACCTGAAATGCCTCTGTGGTGAGGACACAGCCAGGAGGGACATACCCTGCCTTACCCTCGCCCACCACACCGCAGAGTTTGCCCAACCCAGCTGCCTTGCCGCCTATTGTGGAGAGCGGTGCTTGCACTTGCTCCAAGCTGTCAAGCGAAATCAAAAGCTGTCGTGTGTCGCTCATATGACGGAAGTAAAGTGGCCAGGGCTGGTCGTGGCCGTGGCCGGGGGCAGACCGTGGCGGGTCGGGCAAGGGGGGTGTGTGTCCGCCTCTTTTTTTTTTTTTTTTTTTTTTGGGGGGGGGGGGGGGGGGGTTCTGAGTGAGAGTCGGCGTACGGCTTGGGAGGAGTTAGGGAGGATGGGATGGGTGTTGGAATATGCTGTGATGTAGTTGGTTAGGTGTGTGAGGTGGCAATGTGGGTGATGACGGTGGACGGGGGGGGAGCGATGGGAGGGGGGAGAGGGGTATCAGGTTGGCGCTTTTTCTGGTGTGCGGCAACTTGGGCGGGGAGTCATAGGTCGGGGTCGAGCGACAGAAATGGTGATGGCGACTGCGGCGCACGGGTGATGCCCTCGAGGTTTGGTGTGATTCCAACCTCGACGAGGAGCTCCATGTCGAGCTCGCCATACAGCGGGAGCCAGACGTGTACCGGCTCGGGTGTGTTGCCATCGGATGTGAGCGGCGAGAGGCCGAGGAAGCCGAGTCCGATGGAGCCGTACGAGGAGACGTTACCGCCGTCGTCGGCGTCGTCAAACAGATACGCCTCGAGCGCTAGATCCGAGCCGAGCAGATGTGGCGTCGACGAGTCGGCGAGTATGTCTGCGTAGGTGAGGACGTGTCCCCTCCAGTTGTCTCTGACGTCGCGGACCTGCCGGCCAACAAGGATCTCAAAGAACGGATGCTTGAGGCCTGGGATGCTGAGCGAGGCCTTGTGGCCGGTCGACGACGACGTGAACTTCTCACCTGATGTGCTTACTCCGCGGAACCGAATGAGCTTGACTGTGAATAGCGACGAGTTGACGAACCGAACCCGGCGGTTGGTTGCATCGGAGGCAGAAGAGTCCTCCGAGACGGACGACTCGCGCCTGAAGCGACTGTCAGGCAGCGAAGGGATTGACGCATCCGACGGTGAGAGCCGCATCCGCTTGGGTGCCTCAAACGAGCCCAAAGAGGCCGATGTCATCGTTGTCAGCGCCGCCTGCTGCTCCATGCGGCGTGCGGCTGCTACAAACGGCGCGTCGAGGGCGATGCCTGGGAGTGACGGCGACCGCGACACTGACGACTTGGCCCTCGACGACCGACGTGACGAGCGGCGCGACGAGCGGCGTGACGAGCGGCGTGCCGGCGTCTCCCTAGTGGCACGGCTAGAGGCAGCCGACGGGCGGCGCGAAGAGCGGCGCGACGACGGAGTTGAGGCCACACCGGATGAGACCACACCGCTGCGAAGCACGATGTTGCCGGCGTCGTCGCGGTAGGCATACTCGTAGTCGTAGTCGTAGTCATAGTCGTACTCGCCATAGTTGCTAACGTCGCAGATGGAAAGAATGTCGTCACCGAGCTCGTTGCGGACTCGCTCGGCGTCGTCGGGATCAAGCTCGACGAGCTCGCCGTCGTCGCCGACCCGGACCAAGACGTCGGCGTAATCGTACTCGTACGAGAGGGCCGAGTCGGCAAGCGAGCGCGGAGTGCCCAGGTCGTCCGAGCCGGGCGAGTTGGCGGACGAAGGCGGCGGGTTGCGCGGGGTAGACCGCGACGAGCGACGCGACGGCGGCGCGAGCGAGCGGACCGAGGACGTCGCCACCGCCTCTGGCGCCGGCGCGGTGACGTTGTCCTCGGATCGGATCTGCGCCGAGAGGGTCTGCGACAGCTTGCGCTCCAGCTCCTTGGACTCGGCAGCGAGCGCGGTCTCAAGCGGGGTGCGGACGTTCCATTGGCAGAGCTGCGCGTCCGAGCCGACCGAGAGCAGCGTGTACGAGTGCGGGAGGTAGGCAATGTCGCGGACAGCGCCGACGTGACCCTTGACCTCGACCAGCGGCTCGCCGGTAAGCGGCGAGAAGCCGCGGACGATAGGATCCTGCCCGCCCAGGTACGCGACGTCGCCCCAGAGCGAGGCCGTGTACACGGCGCCCAAGCTGGGGCGGATACGGAGGAGCGGTTCCTCCTGGCCGAGCTTGTAGATGAACGAGGTGCCGTCCGCCGACGCAGTGATGAGCGACTGGCCATCGGGCGAAAACTGCGCCGAGTAGACCCACGACGAGTGGTGACGCAGCGTCTGGACCACTTTCCCGGAGTCGACGTCCCACAACTTGACCATATTGTCGTCGCCGGCAGTAACCATGAGCGAGAGCGAGCCGGGGTGGTACGCGCACGAGTACACGTTGAGCGCGTGCGCAGGCAGCTTTTGGATGATCTTGCACGTCTCTGTGTCAAAGATCTTGACGTTGCGCATCGAGGCCACCGCCACGTGCTTGCCAAACAGCGAAAACTCGAGCGAGAAGCCCGGCGAGTCAAGGTCAAGCACCTCCTTGCACTCGGAGCCTTCCCAGAGCCGGACCTTGTTGTCCTTGCCAGTTGTTGCCAGCACCATGCCGTCTGGGTGCCAGCCGACCGAGTGGACCGGCGCAGCATGCGAGGCGAGCACGTACTGCTCCTTGGGTACTTTTGGTGGGCCTCGTCCTCGACCAGCGTCCACACCTTGACCTTGCCGTCGTGTGAGCCGGTGGCAAACTTGTCCACAAAGAACGTGTTGGCCGCCAGCGAGAGAATGATGCCGTCGTGGGCCTTGGAGGCCGAGAGCAGCGCCGAGTGGGGCGCGTCGCCGCCGGGCAGCGTGTGATACACAATGCGCTTGCGCATCAGTGCCTTGCGCCGCTCAGTCTCGGCCGCCAGCCGCGCTGCCGTCAGCCGTGCCTGCTCGGCCTGCTGCCGCAGCTCTTGCTCGCGCTTAAAGTCCGCGATGAGGTTCGTCAGCTCCATAGTTTCTGTCCGCGGGCCGGGCTTGACGCTTCGGCCCACTCGCTGCCACGCCACCCCGTCTAGTGACTGGTTGAGCGAGTTGCTCACATTGCCAGACTGTGGCCCCGAAGTGACCCTCGTCTTGGAATTTGCACGCGCGCGCACGCCGTTGATGGTCCGCGACGCTTGGCCAGGCTCTGCCGACGTCGCCGCCAGCGGCTCGTTGGACGACGAGAGGTCCGGGAAGGCACTGCCCATGCCGGCAAACGATGCGGATCCCTCGGTCAGTACGCTTGACATCGAGGCATTAAAGACTGACGCCGAGTCCGACTCGCTACCACATGCGGCATCGTCGTCCGAGTCGGACCGGGCCGCAAGCTCGGCCGCCGCCGCCCGGGCCGCGTTGAGCGCCGCCGACTGCAGCAGCGAGCCGCCGCTCCGTCCACTTCGCGCCCGTCGCGAAGGAACCAGCGACGAGAGCCCACTCGACCCAGCGCTCGAGATAGCCGAGTCCATCGACTCGTTTGAGTGCACCGAGTCAACATCTGGCGTCGACGAGACGTGTACGTTCGAGGTATTCGCCAAAGCCGGGATCGAGGACGAGTGCGGAGACGGAGACGGAGACGGAGACGGAGATGGAGACGGGCTTGCTGCGATGGCAGCTGGCGAGAGAAAGCCAATGTCCATAGAAGCGATAGACGACGAGGTAGCGGCCATATGAGCGGCTTGATCGGCCTTCATCTCTCTGCGAAACTTTCTCAACGACTTTGAAATGTCGGCTTGCGATCCAGAGAGCGCCATAGGCACACCCTTCACCATCTTGCCATCAGCATCCATATTGAAGACCAAAGTCTCCTTTGTCCTTGGTGTCAGTAGCTTGTCGGTCGAGTCATTCGCTCCTTGTCGACGAGGTCGTTGCCTCACTCCCCCATCACCACCATGACCAGGACCATGTCTTCCACGACCACTTCCTCGACGATTGCTCCCTTCTCGCGAGCTGCGGAGACTACTTCCTTCTCGCGAGCTACGAAGACTGCTTCCTTCTCGCGAGCTACGAAGACTGATTCCGGTGAGTGCTGCCACCGCTGCCGACACCGCTGCTGACACCGCTTCCATGTCGCACAAAGCTGGCGCTTCCGGCGAGGTGGTCTTCTGTGGCTGAGCATGCAGAGTCAGAGTTGGACGAGTACGACATTGACAGAGTTGTCACCCTCCTCGTGCCGCTGACAGTGGCTGTGGAGAGGGGTGCCGGCGAGGAGGTTGGACGGTGGGGGGGGGGGGCGGGGTGGGTTCGTTGGCGCGAGTTGGGTGCAGCGGGTAAAATGGGAGATCTCTGATCGATGTGAGAACCGGAGGGGGGAGGGGGGATCTACTAAGATCGTAGTCGGAGTATGGTTATTGATGGCAGGCTGCGAGGCAACCAAGCTCAGCGCCCCCCTCTCCCCCTCCTCCCCTCCCCTCTTCAATTTCTCTGCCCGTCCCCTTCACGCCCACAGCCTGCCCCATGGCGTGCACTCTTTCCTCCATCTCCTCGTTGTGGGCAAGTAGCATGTGCGAGTATTGGCCGCCCAATGATTCATCCCACGTCAGATAATCGACGAACGAGCGACTGCCGGTCGACCCACTGATCAACAGCACAGGTTTGCACTGCGCGGGTGCGGGGGGGGGAGGGGGGGGGGGGGGGGGGGGGGGGGGGACACAGCTCACTCTCTACGCATAGACAAACAGCACCACATAAGGGCACATACTCTGTGGTGGTCTTTGTTGGTCTCTATCTCTTAGTCTGTCTCTCGGTCTCTCGGTCTCTCGGTCTCTCGGTCTCTCGGTCTCTCGGTCTCTCGGTCTTGCCTCTCCGAGTGACAACGATTGTTTTGTTGAGCAATTCGTCAATAGCCAACCACATTGTGCCGGCGGTGACATCGACATCGACAACGACATCATGGCGGCCATCTCCAACAAGGCAGCCATGTCATCGGATGCTGTCGAGACATATCCTGAAGTCATTGAGAAGCTGAAGAGGTTGTACAAGACTCGCATCCGCCCAGTTGAGGAACTCTACTCGTTTCAGCAGTTTCACTCGCCGCTTCTCGAAGATGCCGACTTTGAAGCCGCTCCCATGGTGGTACGTACTTGATCTCTTGCTGCGCATCAGAACAATGCGGTGGATGAGATGAGGGGTGGGGGACGGTGGATGGGGGGGGGGTAGGGGTGGGAATGGTGTTGGGCACTTGAGGATCTGTGTCCTTTTTTTTTGATGTGTTTTGGTCGTTGGATGAAGGGAAGCGAGTGGGTTTGGGCGCGGTCTCATGAACAGGGTGGTGTGCGTGTGTGTGTGTGTATGTGATGCGGCGGATGATGTGATGGCGAGCGAACAGATGCTGCTGGGCCAGTACTCGGTGGGCAAGACGTCGTTCATCCGGTACATGCTCGAGCGTGACTTCCCTTCGCAGCGGATCGGGCCCGAGCCGACGACGGACCGGTTTGTGGCGGTGATGTACGGCGAGGAGGATCGGGTTGTTCCTGGAGCGGCGGCGTCGATCCGCAAAGACAAGCCGTTCCAGGGCCTGGACAAGTTTGGCGTCTCGTTCCTCTCCAAGTTTGAGGTTGCCGAGTGCCCGTCGCCGATCCTGGAAAAGGTGACGTTCATCGACACGCCAGGTGTGCTTTCGGGCGAGAAGCAGCGGCTGGGGCGGACGTACGACTTTGTGGAGACGTGCGAGTGGTTTGCGGAGCGATCGGACCTCATTCTGCTCCTCTTTGATGCCCACAAGCTCGACATCTCTGATGAGTTCAAGCGGTCGATCGAGGCGCTGCGCGGGCATGACGACAAGATCCGGGTTGTGCTCAACAAGTCGGACATGGTCAACTCCCAGCAGCTGATGCGGGTCTACGGCGCGCTCATGTGGTCGCTTGGCAAGGTCTTTGCCACGCCCGAGGTGGTCCGGGTCTACATCGGCTCGTTCTGGGACCAGCCGCTACACAACTCGGAGAACCAGGCGCTGTTTGAAGCCGAGGAGCAGGACCTCATGGCTGACCTCCGCTACCTCCCGCGCAACGCCGCCGTTCGCAAGATCAATGAGCTTGTCAAGCGCGCGCGTCTGGTCAAGGTTCACGCGCTCCTCATCTCGCATCTCCGAGGCGAGATGCCGTCGATGTTCGGCAAGGGCAAGAAGCAGAAGGCGCTCCTCGACGGCATGCTGGAGGTCTTCAAGACTGTCATGCGCCAGCACCAGCTCCCACCGGGCGACTTTCCGGACCTCGAGCGGTTCAAGGCCCGCGCAGCAGAGTACGAGTTCAACAAGTTCCCCAAGCTCAACATGTCGATGATTGAGTCGATGAACAGCGTTCTCGCGGCAGACATTCCGCAGCTGCTGGAACTTATTGCGCCTGTCGACGACGGCGCCGGTCCGTCGTCGCCGCCGCCCAACCCGTTTGGCGCATCGGACTCGGACTGGGCCATCGGGCCGGAGGAGAAGCAAAAGTGGGACTCCTACTTTGTCAAGATGGGTCCGGTCGCCGGCAAGCTCTCTGGCGCGTCAGCCAAGCCGGCCATGGTCGCCTCCAAGCTCGACACGACCACTCTCCGCGACATCTGGACCCTTGCCGACATCGATCGCGACGGCCATCTCGACGCGGACGAGTTTGCTGTCTGCATGCACCTCCTCCAGCAGAAGAAGAACGCGCCTGGCTCGCCGCTCCCGACTGCGCTCCCGGCCAACCTTGTCCCGCCGTCCAAGCGCGGCGGCAGCGAGGCGAGCCCCTTTGATTGAGGGCGAGCGCGCGGAAGAAAGGTAAACAAAACAAACACACTACGCTGCAGGGCGGATTGCTTTATGGATCGTGAAAGAATCACGGAGAAACAATAGGCGGCACGTTGTGGGCACACTCGCGGCAGCTCCACTGCGGGAGGGTGGCGCAGCCCTTGCAGAGGAACGCGTGGCCGCACTCGGTCCGCCGCAGCAGCTTGGGGTCCGTCGCCTGGCAGACAGCACACTCGCGGATGACTGAGAGCGAGCGCTGGCGCATGAGGCGGACGCAGCGGATGCAAGAAAACTGCGGGGCGGCGTGGCAGCCAGCGCAGAAGTAGCCGTGCTTGCACTCAAGGAGCGAGAGCTGGACGCCCGGCTTGCTCTCGGTCGCGCCGCACGCCTGGCACGTTCGATCGAGGGCCTCGAGGGCAGCAGCCTCGGCAAGCTTGCATGTAGCGCACCGCAGGTGCGGCAGCGACCGGCAGCCGGAGCAGACCTGGTGGTGCTTGCACGGGAGCCAGTGGAGATCGCGGTCCGGGTCGATGGGCCGTGTGGCGCACACGTAACACTGTTGCGGCGTGTCGTTGTCCACCGGCGACTGCGGTCGGGACCGCTCAGACGCCGCAAGTGCCGCGTTGTGCGCCGCCGCCTTGCCGTTGTACCACGCCCGGATGAGCGAGCGCTCGGAAGCGGCGTAGTGGTCGGCCAGATACGAGTTGCGTGCCCGGACGTAGTGCGCCCGCTCGTCAGCAGTAAACTCAGTCTTGGGCGTTGTCGAGAGCTCCGGCGGGATCCAGAGGTCCTCGTGGAGCGAGAACGCCGGGTTGGGCGGAAGGATCTTGGACGATGTCGAGGTGTCGGTGGGCGGCTCGTCGTCCGAGTCGATGTCCGAGTCGGCGTCGTCAAACGGAATGAGGATGTCCTTCTTGAGTGCGTGGAACTGGACCGACGGGGCCGAGACGAGCGCAGGCGGCTCGTCGACGTCCACCGGCTCGGGCACGTGCCGTTGGACGCTCGAGGCGCTTCCGCCTGGCGCGACGTCTTCTGAAAGCCCGGCGTCGGACACCGAGGTGGCCGCACGCGCCGCGCGCCGCTTCATCGACGCCGCCTTCTTTGCCTTCCACTCTTCGGGCGTCATTGATGCCTTCTTGGCCTTGTTGTACCGCTTGCGCTCCTCGGGCGTCATCTCGTCCTTTGACTTGCCCACAAGGTCGGCCGGGACCCACGACCGCTTCGACTTGGACTTGCGGGTGTGTGAGGCGCCCGAGCGAGTTGAAGCGTTCGGTGAGATAGGGGCCGGAGCTGGCGCGGGAGCTGGCGCAGGAGCTGGCTCTGCCTCCGCTACCGGCGCGGTGCCGTCAGAGGTCGACCGAGCATCGTGGGAGGGGTGGGCGGAGTTGTGGTGATGGTGGTGGTGGTGGTGGTGGTGGTCTGGCGAGCCAGACTTGATGCCAACAGGCTTCGAGTACGTGACCTCGACCTCCCCGGTCCGGTGGTGGATGTGGTAGACCTTGCGCCGCTTGGGCGAGGCCTCGTCGGTAGCATTAGGGCCGGGCGCCAGAGGGTGGGCCTTGGGCGATGCCTCGGTAGCCGGATCGCCATCGTCCGAGTCGGAGTTCGACGACGGAGGTGGTGGCGTGTGCCGGCGGCGAGACGGACGCGAGGCCGACGACCTGTGCGGCCGCGGTGGCGACGGCGACGGCGACGGCGACGGCGACGGCGACGGCGACTGGTCAGTCTGGGCCTCGGACCGGGAGTGGGACGGCTTTGAATCTTGCTCGCGATGGACACGAGTGCGGACGCGCTTGCGGGTGCGGACGCGGGCGCGGGCCGCGTCGCGCTTGCGCTTGTTCTCGGCGGAGAGTGCGGCTCGCGACGCGGCCTTGCGGCGCTTGACCTCCGAGTTGGCGATGCCTGCGGCGGCGGTGGTGTAGAACGGATCGGCGGAGAGGATCTCTCGAACGGCAATGAGCTTGCGACGGAGCGCGGCCGGCGACGACGCCGGCGCCTCGCCGGAGAACACGCCCTGTTGCTCCGGCCGCGGGATGGTCCGGGCGTAGGCCGCGCGCCGCTGAGCAGGCGACAGTGCCGGCGCCGACGCTGCGCCGGACGCGGGCCGCGGTTTGGCCGGCGAGAACATTGCATGCCGTGTGGCAGACTTTGGCGCAAGCGGGACTCGCCGGACAGCTACGTCGTCCATGGGTGAGTAGGTCTTGAGAAAAATCGAGTTGTCTAGCGCCGGCGCCCTCGCCGTCCTGGACGAGTGCGTCATCTTGGGCAAGTCCCGCTCAAACTGTGCACTCCCGCCGTAGCGCTGGTAGAACTTGGCGCAGTTGGGCGCAGTTGTAAAGTAGGCCACGCCACGGACCGTTCCATTGTGCTTGCCCTGTGCGTAAGAAGGGGTGTGGTGTGTGTGTGTGGTGGGGGGGGGGGGTGAGTGTGACATAAAATTTTACACATGCTGTTGCGCACTGTACCGGGGCAGGTCCGCCCGACACGATCGTTGGCGCAAGTCGGGTGGCGAGGCAGTGGCTAGTACGTACAATGGCCTCGTCGTGCTCGACGCCAACAAACTCGACCTTTTCCTTGGAGAACTGGGTGTAGCCGAGGAAGCGCACGGTGCCTGAGGCACCGTTGACCCGCACACGCTTGCCAACCTCGAGCCAGGACATGGTGTGTGGCCTTGGAAACGCTGCTGGCTGTGCGGTGGGTGAGGTGCTGGACGGGAGAGCGATTCGCAGTCGAGCCACTCGTTGAACTTGTTTGTTTTTTTCACGATTAATGATGATGTCACGGCAGAGACTTGGCCGGCGTGCCATCCGCGGCGGGGATGAGAATCAAGCCTGGTCGGCATAGCCCTGCGGGTTCTGTGACTGCCAGCGCCAGGCCGACTCGCAGATGTCGCTGATGCCAAACTTGGCCTCCCAGCCGCCGAGGACCTCCTTGGCCTTGCCGCACGAGGCGTAGCACTCGCAGATGTCGCCCGGGCGGCGGGCGGCCATCTCGTAGGGGATCGGCTTGCCGACGACAGCCTCCATGGCGGCGTGGAGCTCGAGGACCGACGTGGACTTGCCGGTGCCGACGTTGACGGCCTCGATGGAGACGTTGGGCAGGGCCTTGACGGCGGCGACGTGGGCGTCGGAGAGGTCGACAACGTGGATAAAGTCGCGCTTGCCCGAGCCGTCGTCGGTCGGGTAGTCCGAGCCAAAGACCATGAGCTTCTCGCGGCGGCCGACGGCAACCTGGCAGACAAACGGCAGGAGGTTGGCCGGCGGGCCGACCGGGTCCTCGCCGATGAGGCCGGACTCGTGGGCGCCGGTCGGGTTAAAGTACCGCAGCATGATGATCTTCCACTCGGGGTCCGAGCGGTGCACGTCCTGCAGGATGCGCTCGATCATGAGCTTCGTCGCACCGTACGGCGAGTCGGTATCGATCGCCAGCGGGTGAGCCTCGTCGATCGGGAGGTACTGAGGGTCGCCGTAGACCGTCGCCGACGACGAGAACACAAGCTTCTTGCACCCGTGCTTCGCCATGGTCGTCACCAGGTTGAGCGACGACACGATGTTGGTCCGGTAGTAGTGGATCGGATCGGCCACAGACTCGGAGACAGACTTCAGGCCGGCAAAGTGGATGGCAGCCTCAAAGGTATGCGCCTCGAAAATGGGCTCCAGCGCTCCGTCGTCGCACAGATCCGCCTTGTAGAACGTCACGCTCTTGCCCGTGATCTGCTCCACCCGGTCGAGCGCTACCTTGGACGAGTTGGAAAGGTTGTCCACAACCACCACCTCGTAACCAGCCTCAAGCAGGCACACCACCGTGTGCGAGCCGATGTAGCCGGCACCTGGGAGGTAGAGAGATAGCGGTGTGAGTTTTTGGGCGGATACAATTCGGGTACGGAAACAATTTTTCCCACCCCTATCTCCACCCCCCACCCGCCATCCACTCCACCTTGTTCCTCGTCTGATCCGCAAGCAGCACAGCGCCTGTGCTACCAGCCACGTCACCGAGACGAACAAGGACGAGCAGACAGTCATGGGAAGAGGGAAAGCTATGCAAAGTGTTGTACCTACCGCCGGCAACCAGAATGCAACCAAGAGAAGAAGAGTCAGACATGTAGGATTGGACAGGGGGGGGGGGGAGAGGGTAAGAGAGAGAGACTCAAGTGTGCGCACGTTGAGGCAAAAACGTCCTGAGGAGCGAATGCGGGTGTGTTGAGGAACAGTTTGCCACCCGCCATCTCTTCCCCGATCTCTACAGCTTGTGGGCTTGGGGTTGGAGGCATGAGTTGATGGTGTTGATCATGAGGGCTGGAGCGGGGGGGGGGGCGGGGGGGGGGGAGAGGGTTATGATTTCCAGTTGATCGACCGGGAGAGAGTTAGCGAGGCGCTGTTGGGGCAGTTGCAGTTGGGCGGCTCGGTCGTCGGGGAGATGATCGCTGTGGGAGTGCAAAGTGGAGGAGGGTTGAGGTCGTGGAGCGGCGCTGGTGCCATGATGGCTTGCGCTTCTTGCGTACTGGGAGCTGCTCAAAGCCCAGGCGGGACATGAGGGCAAGGCCGCCAGCGTTTTCGGCGTAGACCGAGGCAGCGATCGCCGGCGGGTTGTCTGCTGGCAGCTGAGCCAAGACGGCGTGGACGGCAGCCGATGCCACGCCGCGGCCTTGGGCCTGCGGAAGAACGGCAATGCCGACCTCAAGACCCTGACTCAGCGAGTGTTTTCTAGCTGGACCATGCCGAGCCTGCCTGTGCTGTCCGCCACGATCCAGGCGCCGACATGCGGCACGGGCCTTGCCGCTAGCAGCCTGAGCATGGCAGTGGCCTCGGACTCTTGGGTCAGTGGCTGCATCCGCAAGTATCGCACCACGCGCTCGCAGCCAAACAGTTCTAGCACAAAGGCAACCACCTCATCGTCGTCAGCGCACTCGGTGGTGATCGGGATCAGTCTGAGCCCCAGCCCCAGTCCTGGCTCGCCGCCTAGTCCTGGCTCGTCGCCTAGTCCTGGCTCGTCGCCTAGTCCTGGCTCGTCGCCTAGTCCTGGCTCGCAGCCTAGTCCTGGATCGCCGCCTAGTCCTGGCTCGTCGCCTAGTCCTGGCTCGTCGCCTAGTCCTGGCTCGCAGCCTAGTCCTGGATCGCCGCCTAGTCCTGGCTCGCCGCCTAGTCCTGGCTCGCCGCCTAGTCCTGGCTCGCCGCCTAGTCCTGGCTCGCCGCCTAGTCCTGGCTCGCCGCCTAGTCCTGGCTCGCCGCCTAGTCCTGGCTCGCCGCCTAGTCCTGGCTCGCCGCCTAGTCCTGGCTCACCGCCTAGTCCTGGCTCGCAGTCTTGCGGCGGCTCAGTGCCGTGTCCGCTAACCGCGTGATGGGAAGTGGATTGTTGTTGCGGTATCAGATCCCCAGGGTTGCCTTGCATGGTGCGATCAACAGAAACAGCGCCTTGCGTGCTTTGATCCTCAGCAGCGGCAGCTTGGCCGACCTGATCCTCAGCAGCGGCAGCTTCTGCCCCACCGCCACGACAGCCACCGACACCACCGTCTCCACTCGCCGCTCGTTGCAACAGGCATGCCCCGGTCCTTTCCTCATCTCCCATACCTGCCATGCTCGCGGCTATGGTCCATGGGTTGGTACCAGCTCCTGCCATGCCCAGCCACAGCTGGCGCGAGTCGAGTCGCGTGGCGTGCGAGCGGTCGTGGCAATTCGGTCGGCCGACCGACCACACACGGGGCAGTGGCAGCAGACAGGCAGCCAAACAACAGAAGAGAGTGAGAGAGGGGAGACGTGCGTGTTACTTTGCAGACAGCTGAGCTCATCATCCGCGGCCGCTTTCAAACCAACCATCCACGGCCTCGGTCACGTCCCAGCCATGGATGCGGAGAAGGCGGAGCGCAGAGATGCGCGGCGCGCCAGTGACGGCCTGGAACTGATCAAGCGCCAGCTGCTCCTCGTCGGTACGTGTCACACCGTTGTTCGGGGGGATCGACGGCCCAGCCTCATTGGGCTCACCGGCGTTGCCGTCGCCGGTCTCTTCGTCGCCAGTGCCACCGCCGGCCAGCGCATCCGGCCGCTGCAGGTTCTGTACCAGCTCGCGGAGTGTGAGGAGCATCTGCGCAAACGAGAGTCGCACCGGGTCATTGGCATCGCCTTGCGGCGGCGGCGGCGCCGCGCCGTCCGCGGTCACTCCGGTCTCCTCTGCCGCCGCTGCCGCCGCTGCTTCCTGCTCCTCCACAATCCGCAGAGACGGGTGACCCTCGGGCAGCCGTGCCGCGTTGGGCCCGCGCGGATCGCACGCCGGGCAGTTGGGCGGTCCCGGGCAGGCTGGGCACGGCGCGCCTGGGCGACACTCGTAGCACACCACGCAGTCGCAGCCGGAGGTGCAGAAGAGCCCGTGTCCCTCGCGTGGGCAAGGATGCCGCTCCAGGCACACGATGCAGAACCCGTAGCCGCACGCGCACGTAATGTGGTGGCAGGCGTGGAACGCCGCGTGTGCTACAGGCGCCCCACAGTTGGGACACGGCTTGGATGTCGCTACCACAAGATCCCGCGACGCCACATCCTCCATCCGCCCACCCCGGCCGTTTGCCGCCTCTGTGCACGAGACACCACGATGGCCCGCCCACAGAATGCCGCACTCACCGCAAAACTCGGCCTTGCAGTGCCAGCACTCGGCCGCCGTCGCCCGCGCGCGCATCGCTGCAGAGCTAGAAGCAAGCTTGGCCGCAACCTCGGGCTGCTCCCGCCCCGGCCGCAAGCTCAGCAGTGAGCATCCGGGACACGAGATCGTCTCTGTCGACGGAAGCGCCGCAAGCACCATGTTGATGATGAACCGCCGCGCAAAGTCCTCGTCCACTGCCCCCGCGACAACAAGCGCCTCCACCGCGTCGGCGGTTACGCGCTGCGCCAACGGCAGCTCTCTGGGCCGCATCGACGCGCCAGACTCGGCGAGACAGCCCGGACAGACAGCCGGAAACTGGCCCGCATCAAGCACCGCCTTGAGCGTCCCAACCGCGCACTCGGTGCAGAGCAAGTGCTCGCACACTCCCGGCCCCACAAGCTGCACCTGTCCGGCCTCAAACATGCACACCACACACTCGGGTGCAGGCGCCACACTTGCCTCGTCGCGGCTGAGCAAAGAGCTCGAGGTCGTGCCAGCCGACAGCCGGCCTACCCCACCGGCCTCTGCTGCAACACACACCTGCAGATTGTGGTCGCTCGTTGTGCTCGCGCTTGCGCTCTCGTCGCTCGCGCTCGACCGCGACATCGACTCGAGCACCTGAAGAGGAACATCATTGGCAGTGTCGGCCTCGCCTTCTTCGTTATCCTCGCTGCCCTCCTCGCTCGCGCGCCTCCCGCCCGGCACCACGTCAAGCATCGCCGGCGGCACGTCGGCAAACTTGGCCATCTCCTCTGACAGTGCCTCCTGTCGCGCGGTCCGAACCTGCTCCTCGCGTTGGGCGCGGTAGCCAAGGTACAACCGCCGGCACCGCGGGAGGAGGACCAACACCAGCACCAGAGCTGTGAGAACTGTGGCACCCACGCCCACACCCCACGCATCCTGAGGCGTTCCAATCGCGGTCGAGCCGGACACGGCCACGCATCGCCCATCGCGAGCACATCGGTGCGGCTGCTCGAGGTTGCCGGTCACGCAGTGGGCGTTCGTCTGGCAGCCCACAAGGCACCGCTCTGCATGCGGATCGCACGCGTATGGAAAGCAACGCGAGTCGTCTGGCCGCGGCCCGCACACAGCGTGCGGCGATCGCGGAAGCGACTGCGGGAGCTCGACCTTGCTGCGCGCGTACGAGACCGGCAGCCCGATGACCACAAGCCCGAGCAGGCCTGCGGCGAGGCCAACCACCACCAGCGCCGCCGACTTTTCCAGCGGAATCCCATACATGATCCGATGCGCGCAGTTGGCGCCGAGGCCGAGCCACGCCGTCGCCACCACCACCACCACCACCAGAGCCACCACCGCCAGCACCGTCACCGCAGATCCTAGCAGCGGTTTGACCGCTTGCTGCGACGTGATCCGCACACACGCGCCACGCTCGCACCCGTGCTCCGGCGCACACTCCAGCGACGACTCGCACGACGGAAAGCACGCCGCCACACGAACGTCGCACAGATAACCCAAGCGCGAGCACGCCGGGTCGCGGAGATAACTGCACGTGGCGTTAAATCCGGGCCGCCTGCAGCGATGGGCCGCTCGGTCGAGGTTGCCAGCAGAGGATTGTGCGAGGTGACGAGAACGCCAAGCGTGATGCCCACCACAAACACCACAAAGGCAAAGCAGCAAAGCGCCTGCCCCACAATCGCCAAAAACACATCGGCGTTGGCCCGCAGCTCATGCAGCGGCCGCCGGAGTGAGACTGGCCATAGCCCGCAGCCAGCAGCGAGGACGGCAAGCCCAAACACCACGCCGGCAGAAACCGCGATGCTCGCGGCCAGCCACGCCGGGTAGCGCCGTGCAGAGAGCTTGCCGGGCTCGGTGTTCGACACGCACGCCCCACCCGAGCACGTCGTCCCCGCCACGCACTGGTCGTCGACGTCGCACGTGGTAAAGCAGCCCGAGACCCGCAGGTCGCACACATATGGCGCACACACGTCGGCGCGGAGCACCTCGCACAGCGGTGGCCGGGCCGCGGCCAGCGTCCCATTGCCGCTGCCATCGTGGACAGCAGTCGTGTTGGTCGGGTCGAAAGCTAGAGGCGGCTCAACAGGCACGGTCATCGCCAGAAGCGCCCCACTCACCACCACCGCCAGCAGCATGCAGATCGAGCCGGCAATGAGCCGGAAGCCACGGCTCCGCGATCGCGGAACGTATCCGCCATGCCGCCGGCGCGACAAGGTGTACAGAATGCAGAACATGCACGACGAAATGGTGAGGGCAACGACACACCCGAGGACTATCGCCACCAGCGGGCGGACCGATGGTTCCTCCAGCCCGGTCGTTCCGTGCGACTCGGGCACGCAGGCATCGCCCTCGCACTTGTATCCGCTAATGCAGTGGTCGTTCTCGGCGCAGTAGTCAAAGCAAAAGCCGGTGCCCATGGCGCAGTAGTATGGCGCACATGGTGGCGACGCCTTGCACGGCACCGGGAGCGGGCGCGGCGGCGGCGGCGGCGGCGGCGGCGCTTGCGGGCCGGGTGCAGGTGGCGGCGGCGGAGCCCGCGGTGTCGGGCGGATCGACTTGGGTGCCAGCGGGTAGGTAATCGCCACCGACCGGGTCCCCAGCGAGACGCCGATGGTGGTTGCTACGGTGAGGCCAATGAGGAGCGCAAGGCCGAGAATGACAATCGGATGAGTCCGCGAGTAGGCGTATAGAATGATGACGACGAGCGCAATCGCGGTGATGAGCCCGCCGGCGGCAATGGCAACAAAAGCGGCCACCCACGGAGAGACAAGCCGCTTCCGCACACCCGGGACGGACGGCGAGCGCATGTCGATAATGCATTCACCGGTCGGAGTGTGGCATCGTGTGGGCACCATACAATGCGAGTCAGCGGTGCAGGCGGCGAGACAGGTTGAGAGGCGAGTATCGCACTTGAGCGGGGAGCACGTCTCGTCTTCCAGGACCGAACAGTTGGTTCCTGGCACATGCTGAGCGGTAGCCAGAGGCGGTAGCGGATCATCGACGATGGCAGAAGAGAAGACCAATAGAGCGAGAGTAAATGCAGCAGTAGCGACAACGATAGCCATGGTTGCGCACCAAGCCACATCCGTGGTGCGGACTCTTGCCCATCGATGAGGCCAGCAAGAGTTGATACCAAAGGAAGAGAGTTGAGGAAGAAGAACAGCACAACAGCAAACAAGCGCAATAGCAACAGCGAGAAAGACACCAGCCCATGGTTCAAAGTATGCATGTGCTTGAGGCAGGGCGTGGACAGATACCAATGGTATACATCCTCCAGCCGATGGAACGCACACCGATTCGCTGTCGCATTCCTCCGACGAAGTACACCTTGCATATGCCATACCGCTGCTGCTGCTGACAATCAGCGCCACACAGAGCCACCCGTACACCACTCCCCACACTCGCATATTGCTCCGGAATAGCTCGCTATTAATGTTACCCTTGTGTGTGTGTGTGTGTGTGTGTGTGTGTGTGTGTGTGTGTGTGTGTGTGTGTGTGGCTTGAGAGGTACGAGGTGGCGCTGTCGGTCGTCAAGTGGCCATGCCTGCTGACGAAAGCCGCCGACCACCGACTGCCGACCGCTCTGGCCACCGACTGCCGACCACCCTCGCGCCAACGCGAGTGAGAAGCGACCAGTCGTGATGGCATGATGCCGTAGCTAAAGCCGTTGGGTCGAAGGATGTGTTGATGGCGGGTTCATTGTCGGGCTACAGGTCAGTCAGATGGCTAGATCTCCTCCTCACCGCGAAGCTGGCGCTGGAGCTGCTGGATGCCGCGGAGGATCTTGAGCGGCGTGGCATGGTGGCGTGACTCTTGCTCGAGGAGGACGCGATAAAAGTCGAGCTGCGAGTGTGTGGCCTCGAGGGTGCGGGCGACAGAGCGGCGGTAGCGCTTGAGAGCCTTGATCTGGTCGCCGCGGAGCTCCATCTTGTCGATGGTGGAGCGGAGCATGGTGTTGAGCTCATCGATGGGGGTCTCCGAGTTGAGGTCCTCGAGCTTGGCACGCATGGCGTGGTAGCGGTCGGAGAGGCCCTGGAACTCGTCCTCGAGGGAGGAG